ACACACTCACACATACAGTACTTACACTGACACTCCAACACATATGCTGCTGCTACTGTCTATTATCTATCCTGTTGCCTAGTCACTTTACCCCTACCTAAATGTATATATCTACCGACTCAGTACTGGTACCCCATGTATATACCCAAGCTATCATTGCTTATTGTGTATTTATTCCTCGTGTTACTATTAATTTTCTATTATTATAATTTATTGTATTCTGCATTGTTGGGAAGGGCCCATCAGTAAGCATTTCACTGTTAGTCTACACCTGTTGTTTACGAAGCGTGTGACAATTACATTTGATTGATTTGATAATGGCAGCCTGCAGTAGCCCGGACCTTCAACTTGAGTTACTCAATGAGAGGAGGCAGCACTGAGCTAGCCTGCAACGTCACTTCCTGAAGTAGCTCAAACTGGTCATGTTCTGTCTCAATGAGATGCCATCTTAACCGACTTAATTTGGCTTCAGTGCGCTATTGAGTCTTCACATAGGAATGAATGGTGTTGTGATCAATGGCTTTGTCCATTCATACAGTATATACAGTCATTGGTCTGTCTGTGTCAGGAGAAGCACCTATGTAACCAGTAGATGGTGCCAGAGATCAATGTTGCCTCCTGCTCTTTCTTCCTCATAGTTCCTGCCTCAGTTTATGACATAATAATGTCTCAATCATCACATCAAATCAAGATCCTCTTGAGAATCCAAGTTTGATGTATCTAAACGTAGACCTGTTGAGGTAAGGTATTGGCGTATAGTTTTATAGGACACTGCATAACCACATCAACCACAGTCAACCATAACATCATTGCAGATATACTGGATTGAAATGAAATGGACAAGCATAGCCCTATCATCACTACATTTTATTGGTTTTGAATAAGAACTGGCCTATCCTGTGACCTGACCTGGACAAACTCTGGGTACTAGCTACAGGCTATAAAAGTGGGGCCTACCCACACCTGATCCACAGCAGTACCCTGCTCTCCTTCCTTCACATGAGCTCATGTGTTCTTCATGCTATACCGGTTTTCCCTTGGAGAGAGGAACAACGCCGTGAGTCTCAGCCAGCCTGTGGACCTATTGGAACGACCCCAGCCTCGGCCTATACAGAGGGAATGGAGCATGAAGACGTGAAGCTGTAGCACCGCACACACACACACACGCGCACTGGGTCTTTGTCTCTGTCTCTAGCGCCACAGCACATACACACAAACTGAGCAAGTCACTTCAAGGTATGTTATTATTGCTGCTGTATAGTCATAAAGGAGACAGATTATTTCTCCACAGTGGAGAGAAGGCGGAAGAAGAAAAAAGAGAGAGCTTCAGTGAAGTTCATCATTTGGCAAGATGGTTGAAATTTGGGAGATCATCACAACCCATTGCTATTGGTTCACAACCCTTTGCTATTGGTCATCTACTCACTTCACTGATCAGTAGAGAATAGCCAGTTTACCAATACAGTCACATCCAAAATTATCACCCTTGACTAAGATTAGCAAAAAATACTGTATAAAATAATTAATACAAATACTGAGCTATATTGTATGCAAAAAAAGTTTTCACTGTTTTGTTAAATAGGTAATAAAATACACCTGTCGTCAATTAACCATTTATTTGTGGATGTTGATGTGTGCTTGGGGTTATTGTCTTTCTGGAAGATCCACTTGAAGCAAAGTTTCAACCTCCTGGCAGAGTCAACCAGGTTTTTGGCTAAAATGTCCTGGTACATGGTAGAGTTCATGATGCCGTTGACCTTAACAAGGGCATCAGTGGAAGAGAAACAGCTCCATAACATTAAAGATCCACCACCATATTTTACAGTAGGTATGAGGTTATTTTCTGCATATGTATCCTTCTTTCAACACCATACCCCCCACAAACACAAAATATGAAATAATGGCGCCGGAGGGGATGGCTGCCGTTTTACGGGCTCCTAAACAACTATGCTATTTTGTTTGTAACTTATTTTCTACATAATGTTGCTGCTACCGTCTCTTATGACCGAAAAGAGCTTCTGGACATCAGAACAGCAATTACTCACCTCGAACTGGACAAAGATTTGTTCTTTAATGATTCCAACGCAAAGGATATACTGCTTTCCCGAGACCCAAAGCCCCGTCATTCGCGTGAAGAAAAGATGGAGATACCAGGGGCAGAGGTCGAGGTGCCTTGTGAGAATTTGTTGGCGAGTGGGTAAACCGCCACTACTATCCGTCCTATTAGCCAAAGTGCAATCACTAGAAAATAAACTGGATGATCTACGATCAAGACTATAATACCAACGGGACGTTAAAAACTGTAATATCTTATGTTTCACCGAGTTGTGGCTGAACAACGACACGGATATTACAGAGCTGGCTGGGTTTTCCATTCATCGTCAGGACAGAGCAGCTACGTCTGGTAAGACGAGGGGCGGGGGTGTGTGTCTATTTGTCAATAACAGCTGGTGCGCAATGTCTAATATTAAAGAAGTCTCGAGGTATTGCTCGTCTGAGGTAAAGTACCTCATGATAAACTGTAGACCAGACTATCTACCGAGAGAGTTCTCATCTATATTATTTGTAGCTGTCTATTTACCACCACAAACCGATGCTGGCACTAGAACCACACTCATAGAGCTGTATAAGGCCATAAGCAAACAAGAAAATGCTCATCCAGACGCGGCGCTCCTAGTGGCCGGGGACTTTAATGCAGGCTAACTTAAATCCATTTTACCTAATTTCTACCAGCATGTCACGTGTGCAACCAGAGGAAATAAAACTCTAGACCACCTTTACTCCACATACAGAGACACATACAAAGCTCTCCTTCACCCTCCATTTGGGAAATCTGACCATAATTCTATCCTCCTGATTCCTGCTTACAAGCAAAAACTAAAGCAGGAAGCACCAGTGTCTCGCTCAATACGGAAGTGGTCAGATGACGCGGATGCTACGCTACAGGACTGTTTTGCTAGCACAGACTGGAATATGTTCCGGGATTCATCCAATGGTATTGAGGAGTATACCACCTCAGTCACCGGCTTCATCAATAAGTGCATCGACGACATCGTCCCCACAGTGACCATACATACATATCCCAACCAGAAGCCATGGATTACAGGCAACATCCACACCGGGCTAAAGGCTAGAGCTGCCGCTTTCAAGGAGCGGGACACTAATCCGGACGCTTATAAGAAATCCCGCTATGCCCTCCGACAAACCATCAAACAAGCAAAGCGTCAATACAGGACTAAGATTGAATCCTACTACACCGGCTCTGACACTCGTCTGATGTGGCAGGGCTTGCAAACTATTATGGATTACAAAGGGAAACCCAGTCGCGAGCTGCCCAGTGACGCGAGCCTACCAGACAAGCTAAATCCCTTTTATGCTAGCTTCGAGGCAAGCAACACTGAAGCATGCATGAGAGCACCAGCTCCTTAACAGATTCTACCCCCAAGCCATAAGACTGCTGAACAATCAATCAAATGGCCACCCGGACTATTTACATTGACCCCCCCCCCCCCCCCCCCTCCCCCCTTTGTTTTTACACTGCTGCTACTCACTGTTTATTATCTATGCATAGTCACTTTACCCCTATCTACATGTACAAATTTCCTCTACTAACCTGTACCCCCGCACATTGACTCGGCACCGGTACCCCCTGTATATAGCCTCATTATTGTTATTTTATTGTGTTACTTTTTATTGTATTTTTTACTTTAGTTTATTTAGTAAATATTTATTGAACTGCATTGTTGGTTAAGGGCTTGTAAGTAAGCATTTCACGGTTTCACCTGTTGTATTCGGCGCATGTGACAAATAACATTTGATTTGATTTGATTTGGTGTGCGTAGCCAAAGAGCTCTATTTTTGTCTCATCTGACCATAGCACTGGTTCCAATCCAAGTGCCAATGCCGTTTAGAAAATTCCAGGCTTTTACATTTGTTGGTTGCTCTCAATAAAGGCTTTTTTCTGGCAACCCTTTCAAAGAGCCAATTGGCATGGTGGATGCGTCTAATTGTAGATTTGGATACTTGGTAATTCTCCAATTTTGGCCCTTGGATTTTTCTTTGCCTCCTGACGTGGGGACAAGATACACTTGAGTCCAATACCAGGCAAGTTTACCACTGTTCCAGTGGTTTTAAACTTCTTAATTGTTGCCCTAATTGTGATGAGTGATATATTTGTTTGTGAGTTCTTTGCCTTTTCCCATGGTGATGGATGACAAAGGGCTTTTACATTTATGTACCAGTGAAACAGGAAGCCATGGAAGGCCACAATACAGTTCCTTAAACTGAGAAAAAAGTAGAATGTTAATGCAGATATAATTGTTTTTATAAGAATCTTTACGGGTACTAAAGATGTTGACACTTATCTTTTTGAAAAGAAAAGGCATTACTCTTACGCTGAGCAATTTGATTAGTATAAAATAATATAATTTTTATATTTTTGAGCATACAATTTTCAGTAGCTCAGTATTTGTATTATTTATTGTATACAGTCTTTTTTGCTCATCTTAATCAAGGGTGTCAATGATTGTGGATGTGACTGTATAACCCCATAGTGGTTGTGAACTGTCTAATAACAATTCCCACACAAACCAAACTGTTACCCCATTTTGAAACTGCATACCCCAGCTCGCTCTATTTGTTCCCGCCAACATGTAATGGCTTTTTGACAAAGTATCTAGTATTCTGCCTGTATCCAGGATAGTATTCTACTTTCTAAGTTTCCTGAAAGGTTCTGGAAGTCTGATAGACAAACTGTATACTGAGTCAGCCCAAATCTATGCCATTTTGCTCACTGTTCTATTCATAGCAGACATTAATCATTAAGATATAGTCTTTCCAACCGTCAGAGTTTTGTGTTTTAATAGAGGAAGTCTGGTAAGGGTTTAGTGAACGCGACGCGAACTGGGCTGGGGATTGCTGGGTTGCCATGGTGACTTGTAGTGATGTGGCTTATGGGTAATATTAGAAGGGCAGTGGGGGTGGTTGAGTGGTTACGGGTCATGGAGTTCTTGTACCCACGCCATCTCAACCCGGGTATGTGTGTGTGTGTGTGTGTGTGTGTGTGGAAAATTGGTTGATGGCAATAACAACCCTCACATGTGCCACAATGTTGACAACACCCCTGCATCACCAGTAACCGACTGCCACCCAGAGTCCTTTTTAACTGACGTCATTTCTCCTCATATTGTAGTAAAAGGGGGGGATTTACAAACGTGTGTGTGCCGGTGACCGCTGAGTTGTTGTGTGTCGTCTGTCCAGAGGCGTCGGTGAGGCCATGATTACAGGCCTTAATGCTGTGTCAGCTGCTTTATCGGTGATGTGTTCAGAGTTCCCACTGAGCACCACCGCCAGGCCGCCACAGCCTCGTTTAACGCAGTCTAAGAGCTAGTGACACACGGTGACATCACCACCGCATGTGGCTCTCGTTTCAGAGCTTTCTCAAAGGGAGAGGATAAGAAGATGTGAATCTGGGAAGAAAGGAGGGAGAATATTACCTTGCAGCTAACAATCTTGTATTTGAGCTGACGTTTCAAGAGCAAGCATATCAACTTGAGATGAAAATATAGATCATCGACTCAAACAACCTACCTTTCAACTTTGTGATGGACGGGGGAATCTAAAGGCGTCCGCACGCTTCCCAGCCGAAACAGTTCGATAGAGTTCATGCATATATTATGACGATATTTAGTGACGTTTCTTTGTTAGTTTTGGACTTCGGTGAGGGGTCTTTTGGCAGTTCGGGCACACACATTTTTTTCTGGAGTCAAGCCGAAGTTTGGAGCTGAAGTCTACGCCCCTTTGTTTGGTGATTGGTCAACAGTAGGGATTCTTCAGTAAAGTCTTTGTCAAACAGAGAGAGGGACAGGAAGAGAGATAGAGAGGTGGAGAGAAAGAGAGAGAGTTATACAATGTGTTGGTAACTCAAGTTTAGTGAGTCTAAGGTATTTTGCCAGTGCATGTGTGTAAAGTGTGTGTGTGTGTGTGTGTGTGTGTGTGTGTGTGTGTGTGTGTGGTGTGTGTGTGTGTGTGTGTGTGTGTGTGTGTGTGTGTGTGTGTGTGTGTGTGTGTGTGTGTGTGTGTGTGTGTGTGTGTGTGTGTGTGTGTGTGTGTATGTGTATGTTAGACACACTGGGGCTCCAGGGGAAGATAAGTCAGCCAGAGTAGCTGGGGAGGCACATAGCTGAAGGGTGACCTCACCTGAGAGGCAAGGAGCTTCAACCCTGTCAGAGAGCAGACACATACACTCAACATATATTACTACAGGCCTGCACTCTCTCTCTCTTTCTCTCTCTCTCTCTCTCTCTCTCTCTCTCTCTCTCTCTCTCTCTCTCTCTCTCTCTCTCTATCTCTCGCACACACACACACCCTGGTGATGGGTGCTTCCAGAACACACCCTAGTATCAGGCCGCCAGTGTGTTAGCTCATCCCAGCTGGGCTAGGAAACACAGTCCAGAGCAGTCCAGCACCAGAGCTAACAGGCGACTGGAAGACACACTTCCTTTCTCTAGCAGTAGATAGTACATTTGAAAATGGCATTCATCTGATCGACATTAGTTCACAGTAACCTCCTCTTGTTATCTGTTCTTTGATGTGTTAATACCTGCATTGACATACAAGCGTGCCTCACATGTTGTCACTGTCTCAACAGGGTCTGCTGTTGGTGGTGGTCTGGGTCTCTTCCTGCCTCATAGACTTACTGTACGGCTTATTGTGACTGAATAAGTATTCCACTACGTTCTATCAGCAGTCTAGCTCTCCCACGTCTACCTCAATACCAGCCAGAGAGACAATAACATGCCACCTTATAGGCTCAACACTAAAAGGTTATGAGGGAAGAAGAAATCAGGCTGCGTTTGCTCAGTGCTGGTCCATGATGTCATGCAGGCCACATTCCAACTTCAGATACACTACATGACCAAAAGTATGCTCGTCGAACATCTCATTCCAAAATCATGGGTATTAATATGGAGTTGGTCCCCCCTTTGCTGCTATAACAGCCTCCACTCTTCTGGGTCCTCTGCAGCTCAATTGGTAGAGCATGGCGCTTGTAACGCCAGGGTAGTGGGTTCGATCCCCGGGACCACCCATATGTAAAAATGTATGCACACATGACTGTAAGTCGCTTTGGATAAAAGCGTCTGCTAAATGGCATATTATTATTATATTATTTCCGCTAGAACATTGCTGCGGGGACTTGCTTCCATTCAGCCACAAGAGCATTAGTGAGGTCGGGTACTGATGATGGGCGATTAGGCCTGGCTGGCAGTAGGCGTTCCAATTCATCCCAAAGGTGTTCGATTGAATTGAGGTCAAGGCTCTGTACAGGCCAGTCAAGTTCTTCCACACCGATCTCGACAAACCATTTCTTAATGGACCTCGCTTTGTGCACAGGAGCATTGTCATGCTGAAACAGGAAAGGGCCTTCCCCAAACTGTTGCCACAAAGTTGGAAGCACAGAATTGTCTAGAATGTCATTGTATGCTGTAGCATTAAGAATTCCCTTCACTGGAACTAAGGGGCCTAGCCCCAACCATGAAAAACAGCCCCAGACCATTATTTCTCCTCCACCAAACTTTACAGTTGGCACTATGCATTGGGGCAGGTAGCGTTCTCCTGGCATCCGCCAAACCCAGATTTGTGCGTCGGACTTCCAGATGGTGAAGCGTCATTCATCACTCCAGAGAACGCGTTTTCACTGCTCCAGAGTCCAATGGCCGCGAGCTTTACACCACTCCAGCCGACGCTTGGCATTGCGCATGGTGATCTTAGGCTTGTGTGCGGCTGCTCGGCCATATACTTTTGTATATATATTGTATGATCACGTGGCTTGGAATTTCATACAAATCATGTGTTGATGTCTTTGAGAGATATGTGTTAAGAGAAATATGTTTCAGTTAAGCCTGCCCATCTTAATTAATAATTGAACCTCAACATAGCTGTGAGGTTAATGGACTGGAATAGATGGAAAGCCTACAGTTAGCGTCGAATGCCTGAGAATGATTCCCTCTGCTGATTTGCCCATTGCAGTATTTTCCTTGGAGGATAGATAACGCTGTGCAGCATGGTTTTGACATGTCAAAAATAAATCTCACCCCGCAGCCTTCAAAGGTAGGACACATTCCAGCGAGTAGTAAATTCACAAGACAACTAAACATGATAATGTCCTGGGAAAGGCTGTACTTATCGGTTCAATATGCAGAAAATAAAGCATACCAGCAATAGCTCATACTGCGCACGCGTTTTTAAAGTTCATTTTACATTACATTTTAGTCATTTAGCAGACGGTCTTATCTAGAGCCTTAAGTGTCTTTCTCAAGGGCACATCGACAGATTTTTCAGCTAGTCGGCTCTGGGAAATATTCACTATAGAATGCCTTTCTAGAACTGAAAACCTCTGCTTGTGTACTGCGAGGAAATACATCACCATGCACCAATGTACTGTGTAATCAACCATGCCTATAACCATGCTTATAAACATGAATGAGCCTACCATGTCTAGCAATGGATATACTGTACATAGTGACCAATAACAACCACCTAGACACACAATCAAGAGAGCTGAGAGAGAATGTTGTCTTTGGGATACTCATCTCAACACTCTGTCACCCACACTGAGTTTGTTCAGGCTATTTCAGGCCACAGGAAAACAACCAACAGCCAGCAGCAACTCCTCTTAAGCCAATTTAGAGAGAGAAAGAGTTTCAGTAAAGAGTCAAATGAACACCCCCCGCCTCCCAACCAGCCCCCCTCCAAATCTCACCTCCCCCTTCCCTCACTAAAAGCCACATCCAACAAAGCTGCCTGCCACCGCACCCAAGAGGAGGAAATGCCAGAGCCATCTGAAGTGAAGCATAACAGCACAAATGTTCACATCCAGCCAGGAGCACCAGACAGGCCAGAGAGAAGCCCCTAATGACAGGAAGTTGTAAGAACAATAGATGCATGGGATATAGGCATGTCTTGCCCTCTGTCATGTAGCCTTGGCGATGACCCAGTGGAGGGGGAGGCAGGGGGTGGCTGGAGCGGTAGGCGGGGTGGGAGGGTGGGGGGGGGGGGGGGGGGGGGGGGGGGGGTTGTAGGTGGGCTCCCGTGGAGGTTTAGCCTTTTAAGGAGCGATGCAGTGAGATCGACTGCAGAGGTGGCAGAGGTGAATAGGAGTTTGTGGTAGCACTACTGTTCATGCAGCAAAGAGAGTAAAGACAGAGTAAAGAGCGTGTAGAGAGTGCCTTAAGGCGATTGACAGGGCCGGTTCCAGGCATAATCATAACTACCTTAAGCGGTATATATTTATTTATTTTGTGGGGGGGGGGGACTCAGTCGGGGTCTCAACTTACTATTAAGAGTAAGAATAGTAGAATACACCAGGTGCAATTTATACATTTGGTTGTGCATCAGCAGTTTTTCTCTTGTTATGTCAGTCACTGACAGTCACTCAATTAGCCATGTCAGCAAACAGTTTTTAGATTGGTAAGTTAGTCTAGCCAGCTATCTAAATTTGTAGTAATCATGGCCGAATATCGACCGGGCACGCAGGGCACGTGCCCAGAGGGACCAATTCTCCAATTCTCACTCAGATATCATATTAACATGGCAAAAATAACTCTCCACCCCATAATGGTCTTTGCCCCATGGCAAAATTAGTAGAAATGTGTTATAATAAAAAGTTTTCTCTCCACCCCATGGCAAAGTGTGTAAAATTGCAGAAAACATGCTTCAATGGTCCAATGCAGCCGTTTTTATTTCAATATCAAATACATTCTGGGTAACAATTAAGTTCCTTCCTGTGATTGTTTAGAATTACACAATTGTAAAAAATAAACAACAAATAACTTCTTAGCAAAGATCAATTTTTCAAGCAAGAATTTTGCTAGGACTGTCTGTGAGTGGTCTGCGTGGGGAGGGGAAAACTACACATTTTCTCTCACTGGCAGAGAGGTTTGGAACTCTACTTCTTGGTCTATTAAGTAATTTACTGCATGGTGATATCACCAAGGATAGCCAAAACTCCATCCCACCAAAACAGGTAGAGATTTCAGGTGGTCTTTTCAAACAGCTCTTACACTAAAAGGGCATTATCATCACATTCGTAATTTCACTGTATTATTTCAGGCTCATAATATATACTGTAAAACACAGGATAATCTAGTTTTTGACTGCACTGGGCCTTTAAAACGGCAACATTTTATCTACTCCTCATTGCAAAATGTGTAGAATTGCAGGAAATTAACATTCAAACTTCAATTATTCTCTCCACCGTCAAGAGGGGGGCCACTAAAATGTTTTGCCGCGAGGTGGGGGGCCCCCCAACCAAATCTCGCTTAGGGTCCCCAAAAGCCTAGAGCCGGCCATGGCGATTGGACAAAAAAAGAGGAAGATGGAGAAAGCATGGTTCTGTAATTTTTCCTTTAAGGTAGTTACGGTTATGGTTTGATATGCCAGAAAGACACTGAGTCTGTGTGAGTCTGATGAGCAGATATTCACTGAGGCTTAGTCACTCTCTGTTTGTCCACTGAATCTCTGAAGATCTAAGGGGAAACTCTGGATTGACACACCAGACACAAAAATACTATCTATCAAATGACACATCTGCACTGAATTATCACAAAATTACCATTTAAAAAATGCTGAGAAACTTTCCGAAACACAGGTCAATGCATACCCCCTCCCCTAACCGGCACTCAAATACCAGAGAACTGAGTCTGAAAATGTGTGTGTGTGTGTGTGTGTGTGTGTGTGTGTGTGTGTGTGTGTGTGTGTGTGTGTGTGTGTGTGTGTGTGTGTGTGTGTGTGTGTGTGTGTGTGTGTGTGTGTGTGTGTGTGTGTGTGTGTGTGTGTGTGTGTGTGTGTGTGTGTGTGTGTGTGTGTGTGACGCGTGTCCACCCGCGTGTAAAGTGTGTGTGGCACTGGGCATGCATTGTCCAGACCCCCAGCTGTTCTCGAACTCAAAAAAAGGCCCCTGTACTTTTTTTTTTTTTTTACATGCTGACTGCCTCAGTTGCAGTTCCCATGAAATGTGTCCCTCTGTTCCTCAAGGGTCTCGATGGAGATGGCCCTCACTGTAAATGGCTTCTCTGGGGGCTTCCAAGGGCTGCTTGGGGCCTACTCAAGGGGCTGTGGGGACAAAGAGAGAGTGACAGCTCCATAGCTGCCCCCCCCGCCCCCCTCACCCCCATGCCCCCTCTAAATCTCAGCAGCAGCACCACCACTCCTTCACTGGCGCTCCTCACACTGACATTCGCCCCTCCCTCCCAGTGCCAATATAAAGTGGTGTGTTTTCCTGAGGCTTGTCATGAACCTGACATGAGCCTGGGGCAACCTTCTTCTTTCACTGTGTAACTCGTCAATGTGCATGTGCATCTTGTCACTCAAATGGCGAGGGGCTGAAGCTCATTGGCTGGAACTCGAATTGCTAGGGGCTGGCCCAGCGGGCCAAGCTTACAGTCCTCAAAATGGTGCCACAAAACATCCAGAAAACAATCACTTTCAAACTAGGGATTTTGTGGATAATTGAGGTAAGACAGTAATTCTGCTCATATATTATGCATGTATGAACTACACATTGACACAAAGTGGGAGGATAAAAAAATACTTACCCCTAGTCACCAAAGTTCCAGAATGTCTCTTTAAGGCAAGTTAAAGCTAGAATCCTTAGTTGCTACATTCATTTTTGGATTTATAAATTAATGATACAGTATATACCCATTGATTCTTGAAGAATATAACTTATAAATGCCTCATGAGCTTATTTCAACTGTCATACTCCATCAGAACCCACAAAACAAGCTTGTTTTACTGCAATGTTTATAAACAATGTAAATGTAAACAAACACTGTTTAGCCTCAAAACATGGTTAAAACTATAATTTTGATATCATGGATGGTCAGTCCTTGCATCTATAGCTCTGTCTATGAATTTGAGAGTGGTTACATTTCTCCAGGTCCATCCCTCAGCTTTATACCAAAACAGAGGCGGGGTGTCAGCTTTATTATTGTTTCAATTAAGGATACTAGGTTTAATTATAAAAAATACATCATTTCCACAATTCCACCTTATTATTAAAGTATGGAATGGAGGTGAAGAGAATGCTGTGTGCAGTGGTGATTTTAGCATGTAAATCTTGGTGGGGCAAACCCCCAAAAATTGGGGGGGATGCATGCCAGCAAAGCCACTACACAACACAACACTAAACAATACATTAATTGCACTATAACGGTGACAAATGGTGCCCACAAACTGTTAGGGCCTACATAAAGCTGTCCCAACAGCAGAGTCCCAACAGCAGTCCCAACACCTTACCACTGCTACACCTGGCTATCAGCGGAGCCTTGTCTGGCAGCGAAACAGTTCATTCAGCCTCATTTACAGCCTTTTAAAAAAACATAGCTGATATGGCTGACTTGCTTAAACAAATGTGGCTTCTACTGACAATTGAGATGTACAAACTATGGCATAAGGGGACGACGAGCGGATAAGAGGCAATCCGTAATTTTGATTAAGACATTAATGAGCGAGCTAGGATGGACATAGTAAATATAACTATTTGTTCAGCACTTTTGAAATGTACAGCGACAGAATTCAGAACATGGGCCGTTCTTACAGTGTTCTTCCTGTACACCAAGTCAGAACCGTAGGATAAATAAAGGGGGCATATAAGCAGACAATGAAAGCTCTTACAATATTCGATCATTACATTTCTCTAAAACAGGTTATAGGCTACATGTGCACCACCAAGTCAGAACAGTAGGCACAATTAATAGGGGAAAATATACCAAATTATTAGGGTGAGGCACATGGGCTACAAACAGCTTACTACACAACATACACTTAGTATTACTTTCTTAGCTATATCTCCCTGGCATATTACATCATTTATGCAGCAGCATACAATACATTTTTGGATTCACCTTGTTGTGCTGTGCTCACTTGAACAGGAAGGTGGCGCGCCGGTCCTTCATGGGCACATTTTGTCATCAAAGTCTGGCATTGTCTGAATTTATGGTGCTTTCAAGACAACTGGGAACTCGGGGAAAAAAACTGGTTGAATCATGATGAGGTCAGTGATCTTCAGGTCGTAGCTCTAGAAAGAGGCCCGAGATCCCGATTTACAATTCCGAGTTGGATGACCGTTCAAAACTGATTTTCCCAGTCGGAGCTCGTTTTTTCCCGAGTTCCCAGTTGTCTTGAACTCACTGAAGTCAGATTTCCCAGTTCCGAGTTAACAGTTGTTTTGAGTTCGGGAGAAATCATGATGGATTGACAGCATGGCCAGTGTTGAATGTTTATCCCTTAAACCCAGAATTGGGACCCCACACCCACTCCACTGAATAGCAGGCTAGTGATTGCTTTGCAATGCTTGCAGTTAGCCACTGATTCCTTCCAAACCACTCATTGTTGAATTTGCGATTTCCAACTTGTTGTGTAATGTTTATCTCCAATGGCCGATGAGCACCGATACGTTGTATCTATAATTTCTATTCATTATTTATCTTCATATGACAAGGATTAAAAAGGATTTGCCATTAGATTGTCGACTTGATTCATGATGATGACTGCTAGCTAAGATTTTGAAAGTATGATGTTGACATGATCAGTCCAATCAAAGCTACTGTAGATATTATGTGATTTGATGTCATTTTATTTGTGGCCAATGACGTTGAGCCTTCTTGGATGGGCACTTCTAATGTAATTCTATGGCAGCACCCAAGGGGCTTGAATTTTCGAGCTCTACCCTTAGATTTGGCAGTGATGTAGTGTCCCCATGAGTGACAGAACACTGAGCCAATCACAGCGTAACTAGAGAACATTAGGTATTAATGCAAAAATAACATGCAAAACAGGCAACCCACAAATATTATTTCTTGATTTATTTTAGCTAAAAATGTGGGGCTCAAAACAGTTGGGGCTCACCTACCCTGAATGACAGGTCGCCACTGGGTGTGTATAGTTGAAGTGGGGACCAGAACCAGCTAGAATATATCTGAGCTTTCCCCGAACTTGTCTGGAGGAGGTGGAGCTTTTGGTGAAAACGTATTTCCATCTCACTGCTGAAAGTCTGCAACAGCCTCAACAACCCAGTGTGTGTGTGTGCAGCCTGCATAGCTTGCTGGCGGACTGTCACCTTCTTCTCCACTTGATACTTCCACTACTTTGCATGAGATAAGCCTACTTACTAATCGTTCTCCCGGCCGTGAACGCGCGTAAGTGTTTCGGTGTGGCCGTGTTACGTTTCTAGTACGTTTCTAGTGTGACTAGAGAAGTGAAGAAATCTTCGGGAGTGGATTGTAGAAAACTTTACTATCACTATGCGAGCGATTAACCTCGATACCTATAGCCTGTCACTGCTCACGGCCAAAGAGGACATTCTCAACCCCCGCTCATCAACCAACTGGTAGGCTTAAAGCTACTTATTTGCTCTTAAGTGCCTGAATGTAGTTGCAAGCTCAAGTTAGTGAGTATACAAATAATTGCTATTTTTAGGTTTTAATCTCACTTTTAAGTCTCATAAGAAAGTTTCTAAATAATAGTTTGACAGTTCCTTACATAAATATCCGGTTACATTAAGCACTGCGTTAACGGTCCGTGCATTTGGATCTTGTTTTCGCGTTTATAAGAGGAGAAGGTGTTGTGTAATTCAAGCTTGATTTGATTGGTTCCAGGAGTGGAAAGATTATGGCGGTAGTCAAAGTATAACAGAAAACGGTGCTCTAGGTCTAGATATAGGCTATGTATAGTGCCAGACTGGCAGTGATAGTCAGGGCAATTCAGGTGGCACAGTTACGCCTCGATCACACCGATAGTGTTATTGCATTTTGGTACACCAGAAGTACATTCATTTACAATGGAACGCTGTGTTTGCCTTGCAACATTGCATTGCAAAGGCAGTGTAGTTGAGGTGCGTTCTGTGTTGGATTTATCGAACGTAGGCATCACATTTTATGCGTTGACAGCTTGACAGAAATTGTAGCAAAAGGTGAATGTTTAACTTTTGTTGCACACATATCCAGATGATGCTGTGTACCATTTTGCTCAAAAAATACTGTAGGTATGATGGAGGCGTTAGTGCAGGTAGTCTGCAGAGTGTCTTTACCATAAAACCAATGAAGGATGTTAGTGCGCGTGCCAAACTGTTGGCTACCTGTGTGGCGTGCATGGCTCGCCTCTAGCACCTGGCAGGCGCTCTGCCGGCCTCGGGTGTAGTGACCCGGCTATTCTCCCCAGGGCTCTTTGACTTTATTATTTGTGCTCAGCGCACAGCTCGGGTGTCTGCCTACATGGCGATCTTTGAGATGGATTGTAATTCAACACAGAGAGGTTATCAAAATTGGACTAACCACGCACCCACAGACACACACACGAACAGCATTGATGCCTAGAATAACATGCATTGTACTGGAGAATAAATAGCCTATTCATTTCCCCTCCTGAATTCCATTGGTAGGCTAATATTTGCAAATCCACTTTAATGGACCAATTTTCCTGCCTTTGATCCCATAGCCGCAGGATGTAGGGGTGCTGAGGGTGCACCCCCTTAAAAATCAGAATAAAATAAATGCAAAATACAAAAGTAGTGCACTGGGCCTTTACTAGTCCTGTATTAGGGACCAATATAGCCTTCTTAGCCATCTGTAGCGCAGGCAAACAAAAAACTATGTTTGAACCCTGTGGTGATAGCTCAGAGACACATATTTAGGACACCTTCAATTATGCTCAATTAGTGCCCTGTTTCTTTGATGAACTTTTGAATGTGGGTGATCTCTCTGTTATGTTGACATGATCCCACATAATTATAGATAATAGAGATATGTCGCCATGGTGATGTCATCATGATTTGTGGGGTCTGCTTTGTGGCTTACCACCCATCTATCACCCATCCAAGGTTATGTAGCTTAGTGGCTGTATTTTTCAACAAACTGTTATAGGTCGTATGATGTTGAAGATCATAGAAAATATGTTGATGATTCATGAATGCGTAATAACTGCTCTATAGATTCAAAAACTTATTGAAACTACTTAAAAAGTTATCCATATTACAGTCTGGACAGTCTCAACCGACGTAAGAATGCTTTCTCAAACATTGAACTAAGAAAAAATCCCTCCAACAAAGAGTAGGCTGACAGAGAAATGTAGACGAGCAGGGGTACGTCGTGTCATTGCCAAGTACCTCAACTCTACGATGATTTCATCCACGGAGTTGGGCGCAGACTAGAGTTTTTGAAATGATGCTTGGCAGCTCCTTCGTCATGGTGACTTGGCTGCCAACTCCGTCATTGGCTGCCAAGCTATCCCTACAGTAACTGGGCTGCTACCATGACTGTGCTGTGTCCACGTACTTGTCTCTACTGATGACACATACTGGCTTTAGTGGATTGTAGCAGGGCCCGAACCTAATTGTTTGCTCATGTGGATGAGAGCCCAATTACTACAAATGTAGTACAAGTGTCTCGCTGTATTTCACGTTTCTCAATCTCAATCCTCTGTCTGTCTGTCTGTCTGTCTGTCTGTCTGTCTGTCTGTCTGTCTGTCTGTCTGTCTGTCTGTCTGTCTGTCTGTCTGTCTGTCTGTCTGTCTGTCTGTCTGTCTGTCTGTCTGTCTGTCTGTCTGTCTGTCTGTCTGTCTGTCTCTCTTCCTCCCTCTCCTCTCTCTCCCCCCTTATTGTTTTCTCATTCCTGAGTTGAGCATCAGTGTAAATCAATAGGCCATAGTGCTCCCTCAGCATTAGTTATTGTGATCACCAAAGTAGAGCATGCTGGGAGCTAAGAGATGCCAGTGAGGCCTGAGTTAGTCCTGTGTGTGAGTCTTACCAAACACTCAGTGAATAACTCTCTCTCTCTCTCTCTCTCTCTCTCTCTCTCTCTCTCTCTCTCTCACACACTAACACACTCACACACACACACACACACACACACACACACACACACACACACACACACACACACACAGCACACAGAGAGGAAACCCACTCTGAAAGGCTGAACAACACTGGACTGAATTGAGAAGGGGGCGTAATAATGACATCATAATTCCTGTGTGTGTGTAGAGAGACCGAGAAGGGGGAGTGTGAGTTGGGGAAAGGGTTGTTTTGTAGCATGATCCTCACACCCCCACCATATTGGTCTTGAGGTCCCCACTGTGTATTATCTAATGACCTTGTGTTGTGAATAGGAAACAGCCTCTGTATGGGAAGGCACCTAAGAATAGGGGAGGCTGCCTATTCAACAACACAGCTCCGGAGGTCTCTCGTTGTTCCCTTTAACGACTGCAGACTCTAGACTGCTTCACACAGAACCTCCAAACTGGTGTGTGTGGTGTGTGTTATTTGTGTGTGTGTCAATGTATGAAGCAGTAGTCGAAATTACATCAACATACACCCTACTACTGTAACTTTGTAAAACAGACACTTACTCTAAGTCCAAAGAGACATATATGGCGATGTACAAGGCTGTAAATGGAAATTGTTGAAGTAAGCTTTCTCATGCACACGATTAGCTCACACGCTTCTGCATTCTGCTTTGTAACCCTCATAAAAGTACAGCTACAGCTTATTTTAGCTACAGAGGGCTGAAAAATTCCCCTTTCTCACTTTTCATGACTCCATAAAATACCTCAGTCAGTAGCCATGCTCCTAATGCTGATCAAAGGCAGACACACTTTAATTTACTTTCCATCCAAAAGAACTGGGCACGGTGTAGACTTAAGGAATGTTTCTGCAAGAATTTCACGATCGAAATATAGTTTCTCTGCCGTAGTTTTTGGGTGTACTCTGTCAGGCAGACAGCATATATAGGCAGCAGTGTTGTAGGCCTACCAAATAGACAGAGTATTGTTGTACCAATCCAGTAGAACTAGGGTTGCAAAGCTACCGGTAATTTACCAAAGTTACCAGAATCTTCAATAGTTTAGGTAATTAACAGAAAATCTATGCCAATCTATTGTAACTTTAGTAATTTATACTTGAATAACTTTTTTTAAATGGTATTCAAAACATTGACAACAAATACAGTGCCTTCAGAAAGTATTCACACCCCTTGACCTTTTACACATTTTGTTATGTTACAAAGTGGGATTCAAATGTTTTTAAATGTCCTGTTTTGTCAACAATCCACAACAATGTCAAAGTGGAAGAAAGACATTTGACGATTCTAAAAACAATATATGAAAAATGAAATACTAATATATCTTGCTTAGATAAGTATTCAACCCCCTGAGTCGATACATGTTAGAATCACCTTTGGTAGCGATTACAGCTGTGAGTGTTTTTGAGTAAGTCTCTAAGAGCTTTGCATACCTGGGTTGTACAATATTTGCCCATTATCCTTTAAAAAATTCTTCAAGCTCTGTCATGTTGGTTGTTGATCATTGCTAGACAGCCATTTTCAAGTCTTGCCATATATTTTCAAAACTGTAACTAGGCCACTCAGGAACATTCAATGTCGTCTTTATAAGCAACTCCAGTGTATATTTGTCCTTGTTTTTTAGGTTATTGTCCTTCCTGCTGAAAGGTGCATTTTGTCTCCCAGTGTCTGTTGGACAGCAGACTGGACCAGTTTTTCCTCTAGGATTTTACCTGTGCTTAGCTCTATTACGTTTATTTTTATCCTAAATAACTCCCCAGTCCTTGCCGATGACAAGCATACCCATAACACGATGCAGACACCACCATGCTTGAAAATATGAAGAGTGGTACTCAGTGATGTGTTATGTTGGATTTGCCCAAATTATATTCAGGACAAAAAGTTAATTTCTTTTCAATTTCTTTTGCAGTATTACTTTAGTGCCTTATTACAAACAGGATGCATGTTTTGGAATATATTTATTCTGTACAGGCTTCCTTCTTTTCACCCTGTCATTTAGGTTAGTATTGTGGAGTATTTACAATGTTGTTGATTAGGGCTGACCAATAGTCAATAGGCTGTTGGTCGACCGAGATTTCTTTAGTCGAGCAATAGCAAACAATACATATAATTTCATGGTGTACAAGAGAATTGTCTGATTTGCACCTGTCTGAGTGGACTAATCCATTGTGGAGGCCGTGGGGATGGCACAGTCCATCACGAAGACATGTGCTACTGAAATTGTATATGGTTATATTACATAAGAACAATGGTGTGCAACATTAATAACAAATAATATTATTTTATAACAAATGCACTTTCTCGCATTGGATAGTGGTCGCTGTCCACACCTTTTCCTAGACCATGTTGCTATGTGCATTATAGCAAAGTTAACCAGCTGATTGGTGTCGAGAAGAATGTGGCGGAGGCAGCAGCGGAGTTAGGAGACGAGAAAACAGCACTTGCCTTAATTTTCTAAGAAAAGTGAGGAGAGAGGATACGCTAACTTAATTAGGTCTATAATCAATAGCGTAACTCTTAAATGTGCCTGGCTTCATACTGTAAATCATCCATATATATCTACAGAAATAAGACAGATCCTGCTTCTGTTTGAGTGTTTGTTTAATAGCCTACTGATTCCGTGAGCACCAAGCCTTATAACCACAACATGTGGGATAAACAATTTCACAAATGTAGCTGTTTTTCTGTTCATTAGAACAGCCTCTCTGGTATACTTATAATTTATTTAGTGTTGTTTACACTCTACCAAATTGTCAGAAAAATTATATCAATAATAATAACCCAATTTTTTCTTGATCTTCTTGTTATTGTTACTATAATTATTATGATCATCATGATAATAATAATAAGTCATATCGTTATCATTAGTAGGCTTAGTATAGCAGCCTGTAGGCCAAAGAGCACATACTGTTTAGTCTTAATACCGTAACTTATTTAGGCCTATATTTCAATACTTACACTACCAGTCAAAAGTTTGGACACACCTACTCATTCAAGGGTTTTTCTTTATTTTTAAATTTGTTTACATTGTAAAATAATAGTGAAGACATCAAAACTATGAAAACACATATGGAGTCATGCAGTAACCAAAAAAGTGTTAAACAAATCAAAATATATGTTATATTTCAGATTCTTCAAAGTAAAAACCATTTGCCTTGATGACAGCTTTGCACACTCTTGGTATTCTCTCAACCAGCTTAATAAATAATAAAGTGACCCTTGCATAATTAGCGTAAACAATAAATAAACTGTTCCATGTCAGAAATTGCATTCATGAATGAATGTGACTGTTTATTTAAGTAAGCATTGCAGCAGACTCTCTGGTACGCTTAGAATTTATTTAGTGCTGTGTACATTGTTTTATTGATGTGATTATGATATACTATAGGTCAGGCCCCATTGGTCACGTGCATGCGATGCATACATGTGTCACGTAAAGAGAGCAAGGGTTGAGGTAATAGGACTGTTTTTCCTAAACAAATGAGGGATAACATAACTTTTCAGTCAGAAATTGCTGTAATTACATGTTGCAGCTTCAGCAACATGGACAGTGCGATTAACACTGTTGATATTCTGTGGTGGTCGCTGTAGCATGGAGGAAAGAGAGACAACGGCTGCTAGTCACACAGTCACTCGCTGTCATTGTTTTTAACACAGTGCAGCAAGTCTGAGCACAATCAAATAAATTGCTGTCAGACTCCCTCTAGTCATTTGTGTGTCTTAATTATTTAATCAAACAGTGCGCTTAAAGCATCAAACATGCTCAGTGCATATAGTTGATTTGATTAAAACACATAGGATGTGTCTACAGTGGGGAGAACAAGTATTTGATACACTGCCGATTTTGCAGGTTTTCCTACTTACAAAGCATGTAGAGGTCCAGAAAAATCCAGAAAATCCAAAAATCCAGAAAATTACATTGTATGATTTTTAAGTAATTAATTTGCATTTTATTGCATGACATAAGTATTTGATCCCCTACCAACCAGTAAGAATTCCGGCTCTCAGAGACCTGTTAGTTTTTCTTTAAGAAACCCTCCTGTTCTCCACTCATTACCTGTATTAACTGCACCTGTTTGAACTCATTACCTGTATAAAAGACACCTGTCCACACACTCAATCAAACAGACTCCAACCTCTCCACAATGGCCAAGACCAGAGAGCTGTGTAAGGACATCAGGGATAAGATTGTAGACCTGCACAAGGCTGGGATGGGCTACAGTACAATAGGCAAGCAGCTTGGTGAGAAGGCAACAACTGTTGGCGCAATTATTAGAAAATGGAAGAAGTTCAAGATGACGGTCAATCACCCTCGGTCTGGGGCTCCATGCAAGATCTCACCTCGTGGGGCATCAATGATCGTGAGGAAGGTGAGGGATCAGCCCAGAACTACACGGCAGGACCTGGTCAATGACCTGAAGAGAGCTGGGACCACAGTCTCAAAGAAAACCATTAGTAACACACTACGTCGTCATGGATTAAAATCCTGCAGCGCACGCAAGGTCCCCCTGCTCAAACCAGCGCATGTCCAGGCCCGTCTGAAGTTTGCCAATGACCATCTGGATGATCCAGAGGAGGAATGGGAGAAGGTCATGTGGTCTGATGAGACAAAAATAGAGCTTTTTGGTCTAAACTCCACTCGCCGTGTTTGGAGGAAGAAGAAGGATGAGTACAACACCAAGAACACCATCCCAACCGTGAAGCATGGAGGTGGAAACATCATTCTTTGGGGATGCTTTTCTGCAAAGGGGACAGGACGACTGCACCGTATTGAGGGGAGGATGGATGGGGCCATGTATCGCGAGATCTTGGCCAACAACCTCCTTCCCTCAGTAAGAGCATTGAAGATGGGTCGTGGCTGGGTCTTCCAGCATGACAATGACAAGAAACGCACAGCCAGGGCAACTAAGGAGTGGCTCCGTAAGAAGCATCTCAAGGTCCTGGAGTCTCCAGACCTGAACCCAATATAAAATCTTTGGAGGGAGCTGAAAGTCCGTATTGCCCAGCGACAGCCCCGAAACCTGAAGGATCTGGAGAAGGTCTGTATGGAGGAGTGGGCCAAAATCCCTGCTGCAGTGTGTGCAAACCTGGTCAAGACCTACAGGAAACTTATGATCTCTGTAATTGCAAACAAAGGTTTCTGTACCAAATATTAAGTTCTGCTTTTCTGATGTATCAAATACGTATAGTCATTCAATAAAATGCAAATTAATTACTTAAAAATCATACAATGTGATTTTCTGGATTTTTGTTCTAGATTCCGTCTCTCACAGTTGAAGTGTACCTATGATAAAAATTACAGAACTCTACATGCTTTGTAAGTAGGAATACCTGCAAAATCGGCAGTGTATCAAATACTTGTTCTCCCCACTTTATATATGGAAAAATCTATTGGTTGATGAAGATTTTCGGTAGACCAAGATTTTCTTGTTGTTGGGGAGAGCCCTATTATTGATCCATCCTCCGTTTTTTCCTATCACAGCCATTAAACTCTGTAACTGTTTTAAATTCACCATTGGCCCCATGGGGAAATCCCTGAGCAGTTTCCTTCCTCTCCAGCAACTGAGTTAGGAAGGACGCCTGTATCTTTGTAGTGACTGAGTGTATTGATACACCATCCAAAGCGTAATTGATAACTTCACCATGCTCAAAGGGATATTCAGTCTGCTTTTTTTTATTTATATAACAAAATTCCACTTTGACATTATGGGGTATTGTGTCAAGGTCAGTGACACAAAATCTTAATTTAATACATTTTAAATTCAAGCTGTAACAAAACAAATTGCGGAAAAAATCAAGGGGTGTGAATACTTGCTGAAGGCACTGTACATATTGACATACAGTGCATTCATACTGTGCATTAATTTTTCCACATTTTGTTACGTTACAGCCTTATTCTAAAATGTATTAAATTGTTTTTTTTCCCTCATCAATTTACACACAATACCCCATAATGACAAAGCAAAAACCGTTTTTTGTAAATTTTAGCAAATGTATAAAATAAAAAAAACTGGTATCACATTTACATAGTTATTCAGACACTTTACTCAGTACTTAGTTGAAGCACCTTTGGCAGAGATTACAGCCTCAAGTCTTCTTGGGTATGACGTTACAAGCTTGGCACACATGTGTTTGGGGAGTTTCTCAAAATTTTCTCTGTAGATCCTCTCAAGCTCTGTCAGGTTGGATGGGGAGCGTCGCTGCACAGCTATTTTCAGGTCTCTCAAGAGATGTTTGATCGGGTTCAAGCTGGGCAACTCAAGGACATTCAGAGACTTGTCCCGAAGCCACTCCTGCGTTGTCTTGGCTGTGTACTTAGGGTTGTTGTTCTGTTGTCCTGCCCCATTCTGAGGTCCTGAGCCCTCTGGAGCAGGTTTTCATTAAGGATCTCTCTGTAGTACTTTGCTCCGTTCATCTTTCCCTCGATCCTGACTAGTCTCCCAGTCCCTGCCGCTGAAAAACATCCCCACAGCATGATGCTACAACCACTATGCTTCACCGTAGGGATGGTGCCAGGCGTGACGCTTGGCATTCAGGCCAAAGAGTTCAATCTTGGTTTCATCAAACCAGAGAATCTTGTTTCTCATGGTCTGAGAGTCCTTTACGTGCCTTTTGGCAAACTCCAAGCGGGCTGTCATGTGCCTTTTACTAGCTTCCGTCTGGCCACTCTCCCATAAAGGCCTGATTGGCGGAGTGTTGCAGAGATGGTTGTCCTTCTGGAAGTTTCGCTCATCTCCACAGAGGAACTCTGGAGCTCTGTCAGAGTGACCATCGGGTTCTTGGTCACCTCCCTGACCAAGGCCCTTCTCCCCGATTGCTCAGTTTGGCCGGGCGGCCAGCTCTAGGAAGAGTCTTGGTGGTTCCAAACTTCTTCCATTTATGAATGATGGCGGCTACTGTGTTCTTTGGGAACTTCATTGCTGCAGAATTATTTTGGTACCCTTCCCAAGATCTGTGCCTCGACACAATCCTGTTTCTGAGCTCTACAGACAATTCCTTCGACCTCATGGCTTGGTTTTTGCTCTGACATGCACTCTCAACTGTGGGACCTTATATAAACAGGTGTGTAGAAACATTTCAAGGATGATCAATGGAAACAGGATGCCCCTGAGCTAAATTTCGAGTCTCATAGCAAAGGGTCTGAATACTTATGTAAATAAGGTATTTCGGTTTTTTTATAAAATTATAAAAGCCTGTTTTCGCTTTGTCATTGTGGGATATTGTGTGTAGATTCATGAGGATTTTTATTTATTTAATCCATTTTAGAATAAGGCTGTAACGTAACAATGTGGAAAAAGTAAAGGGGTCTGAATACTTTCCAAATGCACTGTAGTAAACTGTAAAGGATATTTCATGCTGAAACCCTCATATTAAACACAAATGGTATTCACAAAATTGAGGGTTTATATTTAAGACAATGATTTACAGCTTTGTTATTCTATTTTTTATTTTTTAATAATCACATTCAATTAAATGTGATAAAACCACACAGAGGGCCAGAGATTATTACAGACGCCTGTGATAATCTGAAATGCCCAAAAGGGCCACTAGATGTCTGATGATAGATTACATAAAATCCTTGAAAGAGACCAACATTCTGGTAGTTTACTGGTAAATGTTTAAGGTTTCCAGGAATATACCCTCCTTTTCAACCCTAATTAGACCTTATGAAAACAGATAGGAACATAAGCAGTTCACTTCAGAGCGAAGCTCTATAAATGTTTAATCAGACTAAAAGTGTACAGCTCTTGCTTTGCACATTATCGCATGGGATTCATATTGAGCTCAATAAAAGCGTGACCCCTATTCATCACCGTTGGGTGTGGGCTGTATCTAACCATCTGTGGGCTCTGGTGACTTTGAACACTGTAAAATACACCTTGTTCTCCCCACTGCTCTTGGCAGACTATGTGTTGTCTATGGATGAGCGTGGGTGGGGGAGCATTTTCACAATGAGTTGGGTTTGAGTAGTTGCAAAGATCTAACCACTGCTGATTTGGATGGCGATATGGCACTGTGAAAGTGTGTGGAAATGTGATAACGAGTGTTTTCAAAAGAGAAGTGAGATGTTGTTCCCTTCCAAAAGTTTAGATACGTTTTTAAGAAGTTGCAATGATTTGGTAGAATGTGTTATTATATTGTGTTAAAGGGTCACAGGCAGTCCAAAGAAAATGGTGCAATCTTTTTTTTAGTGTATCCTATCATTTCATGTCTTTGTTGTTCTCACTAGGGCTGTGACGGTCTTGGAATTTTGGATGATGGTAACTGGCCAGCTAAATGACTGCGGTCTCTGTAATAGCCATTCAAATAGCACATTTTCTCCTCTCCGCTCCTGACTACATGTGCTGCCATAAAAACAGAATGAATAGAACGGGGGTCCCCATTCAAGTCAATGATGGCTTAATAGGTGGACTGGCGGCCAATGTGAGTGTACCCATAGGAGCAAAGTAGGAAGTTAAAGTGTACCCATCAATATGTGTTGTGATTTGTTGATTCTACTCAACTGACATTACAAAAAATACATTCCATTGCATGAGCCACATCAGCTAACATAATTTGAATGAACATTACAATACCATGGGAATTATTGCATCACAATACCAGGCAGCCATTGCTATTTTACACAAGAGTTTACCAGTCAAATTGCCAGGGTTAGAGGTTCTACAACACCTTGGTTGTTTCAGCAAGGAGCAACAAAGTTTAATCACGTTGTTAAGAGTCCATGTTACCGCAAAAACGGACTCAACCGCAAGAATACCCGGCCGTCCCGTTTTCAGTCAGCTGGTTGTTCCCAAAAAAAGAATATATAAAATAAATAAATAATAATAATAATATATATATATTTTTATGGTTATGACGGTTATTTTATTTTCATGATGGTCTTCATCCATAACTGTCAGTTACACGGTTATACGGTAATTGTGCCAGCCATAGTTTTCACACACTCTTTGGTTTGAATCCAGCGTGACACACTCACTCATTCCCTGTTCCAAGGAAGATCTTGTTTAAATTACATCTTGTTAGCAACAGGCAAGGACAACTCCTCAATGATCTGACAGTGTAGGAATTTCCCGAGGATGACACACAGTTTGACTCTCAGAATGGAAGAACAACACGTGCCATGCCATGTACATGGTAGGGAGAAACCTCAAAATGCAGTCTTTGGAGATATAGCCAGTAGTGCATATTATGTAGGACTTCTTATAGTTTCATGAAAAGCCTGAACGAACAAGTCCTCAACCTTTGGGAACCCCTCCAATTCTCACTACTCTTCCATTATTTTTTCTGCCATATTATTTCCCAATGATGTTGCTTAACCTGTTTGAATTATAATACCTTATTATACTGTGTCCCCATCCGGTGGATAAGTCTTTGGGAATGTAATGCTATAATGCAATTTATCTGAGTCATTAAACAACACTGAGCCCCCCCCCCCCCCCACCTCCTGTCCTATCTGTCACAGTAAGGCCTTTGATGTTGTGTGAGAGGAATCACCTGTTGATCTGAAATGGTTTTGGTGGTTTTATCCCAGTCACCCCCAGGTGTTTGTGTTTGGGAGACGTTTAGGGTGCCAGTGTCTAAGGTTACCTGGTAGACGACACACACCTGTGACTGCGGGGACTGTGTGTGTGTGTGTGTGTGTGTGTGTGTGTGTGTGTGTGTATGTGTGCGTGCGGGCAAGTGAATGCGGTGTGTGTGGCACTGAGAAACCAAGGTGTGTTCTTATGCAGTGTGTGATTATGACGCTGGTCACAGTCAAACATGCGTGGACCTAAACAACCATTATCTTTCTGGCTGCTATTTAGAGTTATCCCAATGTCTGAGCCACTTAGACCTTCGTGTGTCGTTGCTGCTAATCACAATTGCAGACACACAAACTCACGCACACACACACACACACAGGCACACAAACACATACGTGTCCACAGAGTTTATCTCTAGCTATGCTTATTCACAGTTACACACAAGCTTCCCACGGTGGAATGGATCCTGGTGATCAGATTCGATCTGTCTTAAAGGGGCAGCGTCTTATTTTGAAATGTAAGATATCTTCTTAAAATGGCAATGATAAACTGAAATATATATATTGATATGTATCAAATTACATTTTAAAACAGTTTAGATTTAATTGTACAATTATTTTGTTTGCTCTTGAGTCTCATGTATGGTTTTGTAGAAGGATTTTAGGCTACATTTCTACATCTCATTATTGGTTTCTCTTATTTTAAATACAGAAGTCAAGTGCCACAACTCCATTAGCTACAGCGAGTCAGCCTACCATTATATTCATGCTAGAACTTCAAACAAAGTACGTGTCACGACTTCCTCCGAGGCTGCCTCCTCTAATTGTTTGGGCAGGCTTCGGCATTCGTCGTCACCGGCCTTCTAGCCACTGCCGCTCCTCATCTCATCATTCCATTTGTTTTGTCTTGTTTATTACACACACCTGGTTCATATCCCCTCATCAGTACCTGTATAAGTGTTCCCTCTGCCCCCTTGTCTTTGTGTGTGATAGTATATTGTGAGATTAGTGAAGCTCGGTGGAGCTCCTTGAATGTTGCATCACCGGGTTATTTTCCCCGTGTGCCTTCTTAGTTTCAGTGCGCCTGTTTTGCACACTGGACTGTTTTGACGCTTTATTGCGTCATTTATTCCGGAATAAATCCTGTTATTCTGTAATTTACCCTCCTGCGCCTGACTCCTTCAAATCACCATATCACAGTATGACAAAAACTCAAAAGATACCCAAAGGTTATTCTGTGACTACGTTTTTTTTTTTTGCGGCGGTATCGTTTTGGCATCGAGTATCGAGTATCGTTTTTGTATTGAGTATCAATACTAAACCTGGTAGCGGTATCTAAGTCAAAAGTATTGTATCGTGACAACACTAGTCCTTATGGGCAGGTGCCCAGACCTCACTCACTCCCTGTGTAGTTAGTTATGATTCTACTGATTATAAGTGGGGGATGAGGGCTTTTTACAGTACCGGATGTGTATACGGTTGGGTGAAGTGTGGGAGAGATGCTAAAAAGAATGGGGGCTTGATCAGTGCACATTAAGGAAGAGATAGGGTTCCCATACAGGCGTATGCACAGCTCTGCCCTTGCACAATTTTTTTTTGACTCATCACTTACGCTGCTGCTACTGTTTATTATATATCCTGTTGCCTAGTCACTTTATTCCTAGTTAAATGTACATATCTACCTCAATTACCTTGTACCCCTGCACATCGATTTGGTACTTGTACCCTGTGTATATAGCCAAGTTATTGTTATTTATTGTGTATTTATGATTACATTTCTATTATTTCTCTATTTTCTTTCTCTAGGCATCACTTTCTCAGGTGATGCCCTAGCAGGGTGGCATCCAGATATGTCTATGGCAGGATGATGATTATGCTAGTGATGGGGGTTGCTGTAGAGGGCATGGCTCCCATGTTTACGTCAGCTTTGAAACTGAAGTGATGTTAATCTTTAAACAACTGCCTACTGCTTTCTTAAACACTGTTTATGTGTGAAGGGTTGTTGTGGAGGCTGTCAGGTAATTTCAGGTCTGGCATGATGAGACATGATTCTTATACAAACAGTGTTTGTGTGAGAGAGTGTGTGCATGTGTGTGTGTGCATGTGTGTGCGTGTGTGCATGCGTGTGTGTTTCCAACTATATTTGGGAAATTCCATGATAATGGAATTGCGCTGAGACTCAGATTTTTCACTTTAAATATATACCAAACAAAGACCATTGATTTCAAAGTTTAACAAACCATACAACTCTATGCACAAGGACTACTTTTAACAATTTAACCCAGTGGAGGCTCCTCAGAGGAGGAAGGGGAGGACCATCCTCCTCAGTGAATTTCATAAAAAATTAAAATAGTGAAACATTAAAAAAGTTATCCTTTTTAGATAAAACTACACTACCAGTCAGAAGTTTTAGAACACCTACTCATTCAAGGGTTTTTCTTAATTTGTTACTATTTTTTACATTGTACAATAATAGTGAAGACATCAAAACTATGAAATACCACATATGGAATCATGTAGTAACCAAAAAAGTGTTCAACAAATCAAAATATATTTTATATTTGAGATTCTTCAAATAGCCACTCTTTGCCTTGATGACAGCTTTGCACACTCTTGGCATTCTCTCAACCAGCTTCACCTGGAATGCTTTTCCAACAGTCTTGAAGGAGTTCCCACATATGCTGAGTACTTGTAGGCTGCTTTTCCTTCACGTTGCGGTCTGACTCATCCCAAACCATCTCAATTTGGTTGAGGTCAGGGGATTATGGAGGCCAGGTCATCTGATGCAGCACTCCATCACTCTCCTTCTTGGTAAAATAGCCCTTACACACCTCCTCCTCCATGCTTTACGGTGGGAACTACACATGCGGAGATCATCCATTCACCCACACCGCATCTCACAAAGACATGGCGGTTGGAACCAAAAATCAAATGTCCATTGCTCGTGTATCTTGGCCAAAGCAAGTCTCTTCTTCTTATTGGTGTCCTTTAGTAGTGGTTTCTTTACAGCAATTCGACCATGAAGGCCTGATTCACACCGTCTCCTCTGAACATTTGATGTTGAGATGTGTCTGTTACTTGAACTCTTTGAAGCATTTATTTGGGCTGCAATTTCTGAGGCTGGTAACTCTAATGAACTTATCCTCTGCAGCAGAGGTAACTCTGGGTCTTCCATTCCTGTGGCGGTCCTCATGAGAGCCAGTTTCATCATAGCGCTTGATGGTTTTTGCAACTGCACTTGAAGAAACGTTCTAAGTTCTTGAAATGTTCCGTATTGACTGACCTTCATGTCTTAAAGTAATGATGGACTGTCATTTCTCTTTGCTTATTTGAGGGGTTCTTGCCATAATATGGACTTGGTCTTTTACCAAATAAGGCTATCTTCTGTATAGCCCCCCACCTTGTTACAACACAACTGATTGGCTCAAACACATTAAGAAGGAAATAAATTCCACAAATGAACTTTTAAGAAGGCACACCTGTTAATTGAAATGCATTCCAGGTGACTACCTCATGAAGCTGGTTGAGAGAATGCGAAGAGTGTTCAAAGCTGTCATCAAGGCAAAGGGTGGCTACTTTGAAGGATCTAAAATCTAAAATTTATTTGGATTTGTTTAACACTTTTTTGGTTACTACATGATTCCTATTGTGTTATTTCATAGTTTTGATGTCTTCACTATTATTCTACAATGTAGAAAATAGTAAAAATTAAGAAAAAACCTTAAATGAGTAGGTGTTTTAAAAAAATTTGACCGGTAGTGTATACTAAATATATTCACGTCACCAAATAATTGATTAAAACACACTGTTTTGCAATGAAGATCTACATTTGCAGCAGCACTCTGTAGCAGCACTCTGTAGGGTAGCACCATGGTGTATTCGGAGGACAGCTACCGTCTGTCCTCTTCTGGGTACATTGACTTCAATACAAAACCTAAGATGCTCATGGTTTTCACCCCCTTCCATAGACTTACACATTAACTAGTAATTATGACAACTTCCGGAGGACATCCTCCAACCTATCAGAGCTATTGCAGTCAGTGTTGCCATGTTCGCGGTTTTCCCGCATAATTGGGCTACTTTGAAACGATGTCGCGGGTGAAAATGTATTGGTCGCCAGTTGCAGGTTTTTTGGGCTATTTCTATGTTGCCCCGCGGCAGCCATGGCATTTCCTTAAAAAATATATGTTTCACTGTGACCTGCTGCTGACTGTCAGGCAGTGAGGCAGGCTGTTGCTGAGTGACTGAGTAGTGGGGAGGGCCGGAGGGAGAGGTGTGTGTGTGTGTGTTTTTTGATGTTCGTCCAAGTGTTTCTTGCTCAGAGATTTTGAGATCCTCTGTCCAACTTTCATCACTCAAACTCTCCTGTCGGATTTATCTTTAGTTATGCACATGTGCAAAGGGGATTTATTTACAATTATAAACCTGATTTGAGCCCTAAATGCTGATTGGCTGAAAGCTGTGGTATATCAGAGTATATACCACCGGTATGACAAAAAATACTTTTTACTGTTCTAATTACATTGGTAATCAGTTTATAATAGCAAAAGGCACCCCGGGGGTTTGTGGAATATGGCCAATATACCACAGCTAACGGCTGTATCCAAGCACTCCGTTTTGCGTCATGCTTAAGAACAGCCCTTAGTCGTGGTATATTGGCGATATACCATACCCCCTTGTGCCTTATTGCTTAATCATAGCAGTCAAACGAGTTAAAATGATCTGGTGAGTTTAATAAGGGCTAGTTCGAAGTTTATTTGTCACATGCACAGGATACAGAAGGTGTAAACGGTACAGTGAAGTGGTTACTTGCATAGTAGCAATATCAAAAACAAAAAGTTGTTACAGGAGGGGGTCGCAGTTACGGAGCGACCCACTAGGTGTCATTCTCCGACAACCTTAGGCACCTCCTCATCACAGTCAGGACTAATCATCATCCTATTGGTGTCACCTGTGTCTACCTGTTCACCTGTGTATTTATGCCCTCACTTCCCTGTGTTCCCTTGCTCAGTTTTCTCTGCTAGTTTCTCTATGTCCAGCAGTACTATTCAGTATCTGATCGGAGATCTATGTACAGGTACTTGAGAAGTGTTCTCCCTGTTTCGTTATTTGTTTCAGTCTTAGGTAGTATTTTGTATTTTGGCTGTCAGACGGTTTTTGGAGACTTATAAGTCTGTTATTTTGTATTTTGGCTTCGGGACCACCAGTAAAGATCCTTGTTTCACCATCTCTGCCTACTGCCTTCTGTGTATCCTGCACCGCACATGGATCACACCTCACCCCAACCCTTACAGAAAGTGTCTAGATAAAAATATGTTATCACATGAAATATTATATCATTATTAGTTGACACTTACCCAACACACTTGTCTAAATTGATGGGTCATATGAAGGAAATGCTATAACCATCCCCCAGCCACATCTAGCTAAGTGGATTGGTCACTATTGTCTAGATGTCACGCCCTGGCTCTGGGGACTCTTATATGTTGAGCCAGGGTGTTAGTTTATATGTGTAGTGTCTATGTTTTGTTTTCTATGTGTTCTTTTCTAGATCGTGTGTTTCTGTGTTGGCTGGGGTGGTTCCCAATCGGAGGCAGCTGTGTCTTGTTGTCACTGATTGGGAACCATACTTAGGCAGCCTGTTGTGCACTTGTCATTGGTGGGATCTTGTTCCATGTAGGTTTGTGTTTGTTAACCGAGGACTTCACGTTTCGTTTTGTTGTTTTGTTGCTGTGTATTAAGTACTATTAAAAGTATGTACGCATATCACGCTGCGCCTTGGTCCACTCATTACGACGATCGTGACACTAGACATGTACACACATGTTCATGAAATACAATATATAGCCGTAATCACCCCCAGACACACCTGGCTAATTTGATTGGTCATGTAATAATCTGGCCGAAGTGGAGTTTTTTTTTTTTTTTTACATGTAGCTAGCTAGGTAGGTAGCTAGCTAGCTAAACAATGAACCGGCATTATCCCAACTCATGCTACTACCAATACAAAAATTGTCATAGCTGTAGTATGAATCTGCAGGTAGCTAAAGCCAACAAACTAGGTTCAATGTTAGCTAGCTAATATTAGCTAGCTATAACTAGCAATGCAAAAAGATTTCTGATTCGAATAATATTACTACACAGATCAAACACTTACGTTAGCTAGCGAGCCAGCAAGCTAATGTTTGCTAGCTAACTAACAGTACGCTTTAACTTGCAATAAAAACAACTTTCTGACAAAATGAGAAATGTATATCTGAAAATGTAGCTAGACTCTTACCTGTATACATGGATGAACGCTCACTACAGACTGGAACCATTTAACTCCATTTTGTTTGTAGCTACATCTTGTTTGGCCAGTGTTGTGTCAAGTCACTCCGGTTCACGGTACCTGGCGTGTGCAGAAAGTAGCCCATCACTTTTTCCAACTGATCTGTCGATAGCGCCTGCTAAATTAAAGGGCATCAATGGTGTTGAGAAAAGTAGCAAATATTTTGTAGTTCTTGATGGCTAACGTTATATCTTTCAAAAAAAAAGAAAGGACTGTCAACACATACTGAACAGCTCACGTTATAGACAGAAGCATGCTACATGGCAGACAAATCCAAACTCATCTCCCGGCATGTCCAGCCTATCCATTATCTCAGCCAATCATGGCTAGCGGGAAGGTTCCTGTCTTTTTCTGTGGCTAAACCAACTAGGCTCGTAATTTAACTTTATTCGTATTTATGGATGGAATACAAGTTTGTTATTAAGGCACATTAAAGTTCACTTGTACCAGAAGGCATTTCTGCCAAAAAGGCAGCTGTGTGTCAGTGTGTCTCGCCTAAAACAGGCTGATCTAGAGTCAGTGTAAGACGTGTGTCAGGGCTTGGCCATACTGACACACTGCTCTGGCACTGATCTAGAGTCAGTGTAAGATGTGTGTCAGCGCTCGGCCCTACTGAGACATTGCTCTGGGATGTCTGAGCTAGACCGAGCATGACATCACTGTCCATATGAAGTAGTCAACATGCACACACATGCACACATGCACACTCACACACACACACACACACACACACACACACACACACACACACACACACACACACACACACACAGCCTCAAAGCCTCACAATCTCACACACACATTGCACACACACACACACACACACACACACACACAGCCTCAAAGCCTCACAATCTCACACACACATTGTATTCCCTCCCAGGAACATACCCCCTATTGGGCCTCAATCCACTTCTCTTGTGGGACTGGAAACACTGTATGCTGCCATAAAGCAGACTGTGCCGTTCCACTGTGCTGCTGCTGCTGACTGGGCTGAGGCTCAGTGTGGAGGCTGGGCGATAGAAAACACAATGTACTCTGTTGTTGCGTGTCCACTGTGGTCTCCACACACAGATGGCTCATGTCAGAGGAACTAAGAGGTTATGGAAATGATGCTCTTACAGTTTTAGCCTCAGCCAGAGCTCTGGAAGTGGGTAATCTTCTGGAGACATTTCAGCTGCTCTGACTCTAAGCAAATATGATTCCAGTCCAGATATTACCAGAAAAGTTGACCACTGCTACTCACATTCTTCCATTGTTAGCCAGTTGCTGTATGAGGCAGCACACACATCTCTTGTTAGTGTCAGTGAGGTATACCACATTACATAACATTGTTTGATAAATGATGAGCCAGGGTGAAGACTTTGACAGGAGTGACGTGAGGGGTTCTAACCGAGGAGAGGCATGCTGAAACTTGGTGGGTCTCCGTCTTGTTTTGCGTTGGTTTGGCTTGACTAGAACCGTTTGACAGCAATTAATCTCTCCACAATGTTCAACGTGGTTATAATGTTCAATAATTATAGTGTTATAAAATCATCAGGCACACCCCTACTTCACCCTCTCCCTCCCCCTTTCTCTCTATCTCTCTCTTCCCTTCACTCAGCTCAGAGCAGTCTGACAGTGTTAAGTAGCATCAAAGCTAAGTATGCTTTGGGGGGGTGGCACTGTTGTCATGGTGATCCTGCTGGGAGAGCCAAGGTTGTTGTTTGTTAAGTTGATTGAGTGAGTAGAAGGGAAGAGATGAGAAGAGGGGGAGTGAGGGACATGGAGAGTGGGAGAAGAAGAGGGGAGGATGGGGATGAAGTGGAGAGATGAGAGAGGAACACAGAGAGCAAGAGAAGAAGAGGTATTGTGGGAAGAAATGCAGAGAGGACAGTGTTAAGAATAGAAGCAGAAGAGATAGAGAGGGCAGAAAGGAGGAGAATGTGAGAGGTTGGAGATGAGCAGAGTGATTAGTAGTAGAGGAAAGAATGAAGGGTGAAGAGGAGGAAGTAAGAGGAGAGTAAAGGATCAAAGAGCAGCAAAAAAGAGAGTAGGAGAGGTTTTGTGAAAGAGAGAAGTAAGGGGCTATTTTGTGTGTGAGTGTGCAGGTGAGGGAATGGTTCTTGCTTCTGTATATATAGCTCTTAACGTTGTGCGTAATAGGGAAGTATGTGGTGTGTGCGTGTGTGCAATCGTGAGTGAGTGTGCGTGTGTGTGTGTGACTGCCTAGGCAGGAAATGCCAGAGCTGTCCCAGAGGAGAGCTACTTTAGAGGGGCCCATCTGGCCATCCAGCCTGGTCACATAGACTAGACGTAACATAGTAAAGGTAAATCCGGGACACTCAAATTAATGTGATATGTTAAGTTTGGTATGGTTACATAAGACAGATGGTTACTTAAGGCAAAAACGAAAGTAGGGTGGTTGGTTGGGGTGGATGGGTATAACACAAATGTCTAGCAACTCGCAAATGTTGCGAGTTCGAATCTCATCATGGATAACTTTAGCATTTTAGCTAATGAGCAGTTTCTCAACTACTTACTACTTTTTATCTACTTTGCAACTTCTTACCATGTTAGCTAACCCTTCCCCTAACCCTAACCCTAACCTTAACCCTTTTAGCTAACCCTTCCCCTAACCCTAACCTTAATCCTTTAACCTAACTCCTAAACTTAACCTTAACCCTAAAACCTAGCCTAGCTAATGCTAACCAGCTAGCTAATGTTAGCCACATAGCTAGAATGCGTAACATATCATACGTTTGGCAAATTCTTAACATATTTAACTTTTTGCAAATTTGTAACATATTGTATGTTTAGCAAATTTGTAAAAAATAATAACAATTGTAATTCGTAAAATATCATATGAAATGGGTGATGGACATCCACAAATGAATACATACCATACGAAACATAACATATCATACTCAATGGAATGTCACTGATTTACATACAGAATAATACGAAATGCTCTGAGACTAGGTTGGGCCATCAGTCACCCCCCTCCCCCTCCGTCCCCTGGCCTCCTCCGCTGTCCCATCATCATCTGTAGAGAGAGGGACCAGTACCCCCCTCTGAACACACACACCCTATCCCTACCCCGTGACCCCCCATATAGCCTTCCCTGTGTGTAAACAGCAGCATGCAACCCCTGTATGCACTATGCACCCCTCTCAACCTATGCCTTTAATGCTTGTTTGAATTCCCAGAGCTCCTTAGCAGTAAGCACTCCCAGTGTGTAGTCTAGCCCCCCTTTCCCTGAACGCACCCCTCTCAAGGCACCCATTCACACCCCCTTCTTAGCAACACCCCTGTATGGGCCCCAAACAGTACACCCTTATCATCATCAATGCCTGGAGAATAAGGCTGCTCCTCTAAGTTTGGCTGCTGAACATTTGTACACTGAACAGTAGAACTCGGTGATCTTACTTAGAAGATAAAAATACAGACATTCTAATTGCCAAATGATAGATCATTATTCAGTATAGTGAATTCCCTCTATAGTGGTCATGTAGTGTTGATTGATTCCATATAGCCAGGCCATGTGTGTAAATGGGAGTTGGTCTGGTCCCTTTCTGTCATCACCTCCTGTTAACGCACTGATAAAGACACCAGGGGAGGCCTAGACCACTTCCCCTTAACATGAAAAAGCCCTATATGCTTTCTAGGAAATACATTTCTGCTGGTGCATTCTAGGCAGACTGGAATATACTGCATGACCTCCACATTAGCATTTCTTACTACACACACACACAGATACACACACGTGCACACGCATGCACACACACACAGTATGCGTGGCCAGATGGATTAGGTTACAGCGTGAGGACTGTGGTAACTAAGTAATGACTGTTCTGTGACAAATTCAGCTCCACTTACACAATTAGAAGCTAAGGTTATCTTGGGATTAGTAGCCACTACCTGTAACAGGAGACTTGCTGTTGTCCTCTCAACACTAGACTCCACTCCATTCAGACAGAGCACCCAGTCCATCACCTTACAATGAATGCTCTACTCACAGGTTTGATCCAGGTTTAACTAGAGCTCAACTCTTCCTGATAATCTTGGTTTCAGTCGTGATTAGTGATGATATTTTAGGCCAGATTTAGACCATCTGACAGTTAAAAAACAGAGGGCTGTTTTTGATAGGGGACCCCTCTCCTTTCCTCCTTCTATCCCCAGCCTCTTTTCTAATCTGGTTCAGTACAGTTTTTCTGTCTCGCGGATCCTTGGCAGAGATATTTATTTATTTGTTTATTTGGTTTGCCATTTTTTAAAGCTCTCTGGCTTTAGGTTTTGCTGAGAGCAGACATTTCCATTCCTCCCCTCAACATTCCATCCCCTCTCCCTCTAACCCTCTCCCCCTTTCCCTCTCTCCCGCTCCCTAGCCATTCCTTTCTCTTTATTTGACATTTTTTCTCTCTTTCTCCTTCCCATGCCATGTCTCTTTCTTCTTGTGCATGTCTTTTTGACACACTCTTGCCTCTCTCCATTTTGGTCTGTTCTCTGTCTTTTCTCCTCAATTGCCTCTCTCTCCTGCTTTTCCATTCCCCCCTTCTCTACCCTGACGGAGCCCCTCTTATTTCTATCAGTTATTTTCCCTCAAATAGCTCTATTGGCCTGTAATGGCTACTCAGGGGAGTCCTTCCTCACCCAGCCAGCTCCCAGCAGCCACTGCTCTCTCACGTATGGGACGGCACAAGGTCCCCTTCTGTTCTCTCTGTATGAATTTACAACCAGTGGGAAATATGCAGGAAACACCATTTAAACTGGAGAGAAGTTCTAATTATTATGTTGGAAATGTACTTTTTCCAACGGATTAATAAATGTGTTCAAAGGTCAAAAGTTGTTGACAATCCAAACATAAAGCACGTAATATCCCAATAATACAAATTATAAATACAACACCAGGTATTTATGTGTGTAGTGTTGAGAGTATATGGCTTGTGTGCAGCAGACCAGTAGACCAGTCTCAGAGTCTCCCAGAGTGTTTGGCCACTATAAACTGTGATGATTAGGACTTGGCACAGTGTTGTTACTAGGTCAAGTGTACTGTGCCAGGCAGTTACATGCCCACAGTGCAGGGCAGATCTGTGCCAAGGTGTCTCCATAGTGAAACCTCTATGACAAGGGACTCTACTAAAGACAAACCAGTATGCAATTCATATCATACACATACAGGTGGGGTATATGTATGTCGTTTGGGCATTCCTCAGTTTGGAGTGTACAGTCAATTAAAATGCAGTCAATTAAAACATGTTAATTGTCTGAAGCAAAATGAGACTTAATATAATATAATAATATTAATGGAAAAACACATTCTCTGGCACTGGAAATGGCACCTCAACTGTGTTGATTATTTTCCCAATAAGTACAGCGACATCTCCTATGGGCCTCCCTGGTTTTCCATCTCCACTCTGTAGGGGATAGACTAGCATGCTAAATGCTAACCAGCAGCTGAGATGACAGTAAAGGGGATATTACAATGTGTTGGCCTTAGGCAGTTTGGCTTGCTCCACTGCTGACTACAGTATGTGAGTTCCTTTAGCCCCCATCCATCCCTGTGTGCCTGTCCCCCTGTAAGTACCTCCTCATGCATTACCCCCACTGACCAGCTCTCATTATATTGGACGGCTTCTGGCTCTGTGAGTTGATTACTGTCTGTGTGTGTGTGTCTGTCCGTCCCCCCGTCCATCTGTCCATGTCTGCAGTGTACCTGAATGACTGTACTCACTATAGCTGGAGTGGGGCTCTTTACCTCTTTTATCTCTCAGCCTTCATCTCTCCATCTTTCCCCCTCTTTCTTCCTCCATCTCTCTATTCACAGGTCAAGTCCCCTATTGGGTTTTAATGAGCACAGAGAGGTTTTCATAAACACCATGGCTCAGCCACAGTCTAAATCCCCTGACCTGACGTCCACCTGTCAGCGCTTACTGAAGTGAAAGGCCTTTCTTATTGTGATGGTCTTCAGTCAACATGGAAGCAATATTGGACAATGGCTTGGTTGTTATGGTGTCCACATGGACACATTCAGTGCAATATTGGCCAAGTGAATATTACTTTTTTACTTCAGTATTTTAAATTCTTTCACCTTTTTACACCGCTCAAAATGCGTTTCTTAAGTCTTCAAGACTTATTTTTGTCTGCGCCCGACACACAGTTAGAGAAATGTGTTTGCCTATCGCTTTCCACAGCATCAGGTAAGTCAGTCAGGATGTTTATTCTGATGCCCCATCACCTCACACTGAGGAGAAACAGAAGCAGCCCATAGCTACCACTGTATACTGTACAGCCATTCCACACAGATGGAGGAATGCATTGACTGACAGGGTCACTGTGCTGGCACCAAGCCTGGTCTGGTCTGGTCTGGCTGTTTTGTCCATGTTTGGAGAGAGGAAATGAGTGCTGAGCTGAGCGATGTCTCCGTGTTCTCCACACAGCTCCACTCTGTCTCCACTCCAACACACAGTCAGACACACAGACTGACTGACTGGCTAATGGCTATAAGTAGTAGCCTGAGCCCAGGTCACAACTCAGATACAGAGCCAAGAGAGATGGAGGGAGGAGAGAGGAAGAATGGGGGAGGAAAGTGAAAATGAACATGAAGGGGAAGATGTAGGAGGAAAAATTAAGAAAGAGAGATAGCAACGGAAAGAAGAACGGAGGGAAGTAGGGGTTGAAAAGATTGGGAGGACACAACAACCTCTCATTCTCTCTTCATAGTTATCACCAAAGAGATACGGTTGGAAAAAGGAGGGAGCACTCTTGAGTGATGTTCTGTCATACCCAGAGCACAGATATACCATAAAAACAAGATGGCTTCCCCTAGATATCCCATTGAGAGTTTGATCTAAGTAGTATATCTTAGCATGAAACCTACCATCTGGTTCCCACTATCTCTGTATCTACAGGAAGTTGTATCATGTAACGAGTATGCACCCTACAAATCTCTCATATCTCCACTGTCTTCAATGGAGGGTTTGTCTGCAGCTAGGGATGTTACTATTGTTTGTAGGAGAGGTGTAGGCTGGAAAGCGTGGAAACAAGGGAGGAAGGGTGGAAAGATATGCCATTTTGTGTAGGATGGGTAAAGAGTGAAACAATAAAAAAGGGGTGATGAAAATTGTAAAAAGTAATGAGACAGTTGTTTTTTGGGGTTACGTTATGTACCTGTTTGTTGTACAACATCAATATTTTGCAGGACATTGAGTTGCTGTTCTCATCATTCAAGTAAAACGTATATAGGTTATAGGTTAAGAACTTTTGTGAAAGAGCACAGTTTGAAAGATATGGCAAATAGAAATCAAACCGGAAGGACATCAGAAATAAATGGGAGAGGTTGAGGGTAGAGGAAGGACAGGAGTAAAAACAAACAAAATAGACTGTGTCCATAAAATATATATAGTATGTATAAGCTCGCAGTAGAGGCCTAAGCGTTGTTGTTCACTAGTTCACTCCGATTAAGGGAGGGGTGGTAGGGTTAGAAAGTAATAAAGGAAAAGGATATGTGTATATATTTTACATTTACAACAGAAAATATATATATACAGTGTGTGCGAATGTAGTAAGTTATAATAAATAAATAGGCCATAGTGCAAAAGTAGTTACAATTTCGTAATTAACACTGGAATGATAGATGTGCAAAAGATGATGTGCAAATAGAGATACTGGGGTGCAAATTAGCAAAATAAATAACAATATGGGGATGAGGTAGTTGGGTGGGCTAATTTCAGAATGGCTGTGTACAGGTGCAGTGATCGGTAAGCTGCTCTGACAACTGACGCTTAAAGTTAGTGAGGGAGATAAGAGTCTCCAGCTTCAGAGATTTCTGCAGTTCGTTCCAGTCATTGGCAGCAGAGAACTGGAAGGAATGGCGGCCAAAGGAGGTGTTGGCTTTGGGGATGACCAGTGAGATATACCTGCTGGAGCGCAGACTACGGGTGGGTGTTGCTATGGTGACCAGTGAGCTAAGATAAGACGGGGATTTGCCTAGCAGTGATTTAGATGACCTGGAGCCTGTGTGTTTGGCGACGAATATGTAGTGAGGGCCAGCCAACAATATATGTATGTGTGTATGTATGTATGTATGTATGTATGTATGTATGTATGTATGTATGTATGTACGTACACTACCGGTCAAAAGTTTTAGAACACGCTTTTCTTTATTTGTACTATTTTCTACATTGTAGAATAATAGTGAAGACATCAAAACTATTAAATAACACATATGGAATCATGTAGTAACCAAAAAAGTGTTAAACCTGTGGCGGTCCTCATGAGAGCCAGTTTCATCATAGCGCTTGATGGTTTTTGTGACTGCACTTGAAGAAACTTTCAAAGTTATTGAAATGTTCCATATTGACTGACCTTCATGTCTTAAAGTAATGATGGACTGTCGTTTCTCTTTGATTATTTGAGCTGTTCTTGCCATAATATGGACTTGGTATTTTACCAAATAGGGCTATCTTCTGTATACCCCCCTACCTTGTCACAACACAACTGATTGGCTCAAACGCATTAAGAAGGTAATACATTCCACAAATTAACTTTTAAGAAGGCACACCTGTTAATTGAAATGCATTCCAGGTGACTACCTCATGAAGCTGGTTGAGAGAATGCCAAGAGTCTGCAAAGCTGTCATCAAGGCAAAGGGTGGCTATTTGAAGAATCTCAAATATAAAATATATTTTGATTTGTTTAACACTTTTTGGTTTACTACATGATTCCATATGTGTTATTTCATAGTTTTGATGTCTTCACTATTATTCTACAATGTAGAAAATAGTAAAAAATAAAGAAAAACCCTTGAATAAGTAGGTGTGTCCAAACTTTTGACTGGTACTGTATATACACACAGACAGTAAAATGGCTGAGAGGGACGGGAATGGTAAAAAGCCTGAATATTAAGTGGCACTCCAGTCTCTTTTTCACCTCCTTTAACACCTGATTTACTCAACAAAATGCACATCTCAATAGGTGGTCCAGCTATGTCACAACAAAGCACAAGTGGGGGGTGGGCTTTTCCTCTTTCGTTCTTTATTGCTCCTCTATTATTCCTCAAGCAAGAGGGGAGGCCGAAGACATCACGAATTCCCATCAGACCTACTCCTTCAAGTTTGCAGTTGTGTGTGTACTTTATTGTATTTATACTTGGGATATCACTTTTCAACAGGAAAAGTTCAAAAATACCTTTAAGTAAAATCTTAGCCCTCTCCTTTGTACAGCACCATCTGCTTATGTCATGTTCATCTTTGAAATGGTCGAGCAGAGCGTGTTTGGAGGTACTACAGGCTCTTCTGCTGTCCAAAATAAACCACTGGTGTTGTTACTGGCTTTCTCTTTCTCTCCCTCTGTGTGTGCTTACGTGTGTGTGTGTGCGACAAGGTGAAAAATCTGTCGATGTGCCCTTGAGCAAGGCACTTAACCCTAATTGCTCATGTAAGTCGCTCTGGATAAGAGCGTCTGCTAAATGACTAAAATGTAAATGTTAAGGCTGGGCGGTATACCGTGTTTTACGATATACCGGTATTGATGCACAGACCAGTTTGGGTTTTTACTTTACCTACAATAACGGTATTTGAATGTTTGGTTTGTTAAATGTGATACGCTGTGTGTAACGTACATTTTTATAGTTTACTTCGCTACTCCAGTCATCTCTCTCAGCTCTCTCTCCATGCCGCTTTCCACACAGAACTAGCCCCGCCCCCTGTCACTCAAGGAGCACATTTGTTGTTCTTTGACCAAGAGACACTTGCATTCAGTTCGCATGCTCAATCAAAGAAAATCAAATCAAATTGTATTGGTCACATACACATATTTAGCAGATGTTATTACGGGTGTAGCGAAATGCTTGTGTTCCTAGCTCCAACAGTGCAGTACGATCTAACAATTCACAACAATACACACAAATCTAAAAGTGAAAGAATGGAATTAAGAAATATATAAATATTAGGATGAGCAATGTCGGAATGGCATTGACTAAAATACAGTAGAATACAGTATATACATATGAAATGAGTAAAACAGTATGTAAACATTATTAAAGTGACTAGTGTTCTCTGTTGTGCCTTCTTCACCACACTATCTGTGTGGGTGGACCATTTCAGATTGTCAGTGATGTGTACGCCGAGGAACTTGAAGCTTTTCACCTTCTCCACTGCGGTCCGTCGATGTAAATAGAGGCGTGCTCTCTCTGTTGTCTCCTGAAGTCCACGATCAGCTTCTTTGTTTTGTTGACGTTGAGGGAGAGGTTATTTTCCTGGCACCACTCCGACAGGGCCCTCACCTCCTCCCTGTAGGCTGTCTCATCATTGTTGGTAATCAGGCCTACTACAGTTGTCGTCTGCAAACTTGATGATTGAGTTGGAGGCGTGCGTGGCCACGCAGTCATGGGTGAAGAGGGAGTACAGGAGGGGGCTGAGCACACAACCTTGTGGGGCCCCTGTATTGAGGATCAGCGTAGTGCAGGTGTTGTTTTCTATCTTCACCACCTGGGGGTGGCCCGTCAGGAAGTCCAGGACCCAGTTGCACAGGGTGGGGTTCAGACCCAGGGCCCATAACTTGATGATGAGCTTGGAGGGTACTATGGAGGTGAAGGCTGAGCTGTAGTCAATGAACAGCATTCTTACATAGGTATTCCTCTTGTCCAGATGGGATAGGGCAGTGTGCAGTATGCAAATTGAAGTGGGTCCAGGGTGACAGGTAAGGTAGAGGTGATATGATCCTTAACTAGCCTCTCAAAGCACTTCATGATGACAGAAGTGAGTGCTACGGGGCGATAGTAATTTAGTTCAGTTACCTTTGCTTTCATGGGTACAGGAACAACGGTGGACATCTTGAAGAAAGTGGGGACAGCAGACTGGGATAGGGAGAGATTGAACATGTCCGTGAACACTCCAGCCAGCTGGTCTGCACATGCTCTGAGGACCCGTCAAGGGATGCCGTCTGGGCTGGCAGCCTTGCGAGGGTTAACACGCTTAAATGTCTTACTCATGTCGGCCACGGAGAACGAGAGCCCACAGTCCTTGGAAGCGGGCCGCGTCTGTGGCACTGTGTTATCCTCAAAGCGGGTGAAAAAGGTGTTTAGCTTGTCCGGGAGCAAGACGTCAGTGTCTGCAACGTGGCTGGTTTTCCCTTTGTAATCCGTGATTGTCTGTAGACTCTGTCACATACGTCTCATGTCTGAGCCGTTTAATTGTGACTCCACTTTGTCTCTGTACTGACGTTTTGCCTGTTTGATTGCCTTACGGAGGGAATAACTACACTGTTTGTATTCAACCATATTCCCAATCACCTTGCCGTGGTTAAATGCGGTGGTTCGCTCTTTCAATTTTGCGTGAATGCTGACATCTATTCACGGTTTTTGGTTTGAGTAGGTTTTAATAGTCACAGTGGGAACAACATCCCCTATACACTTCCTGATTAACTCAGTCACCATGTCCATGTATATGTCAATTTTATTCTCAGAGGCAACCCGGAACATATCCCAGTCCGCGTGATCAAAACAATCTTGAAGCATGGATTCCGATTGGTCAGACCAGCGTTGAATAGACCTTAGCACGGGTACTTCCTGTTTGAGTTTCTGCCTATAGGAAGGGAAGAGCAGGATGGAGTCGTGATCTGATTTGCCAAAGGGAGGGCAGGGGAGGGCCTTGTAGCCATCCCGGAAGGAGGAGTAACAGTGGTTGAGAGTTTTTGATGCGTGAGTACTACAGGCAATGTGTTGATAGAAATTCGGTAGCTTTTTCCTCATATTTGCTTTGTTAAAATCCCAGCTACAATAAATGTGGCCTCAGGGTATATGCTTTCCACAAGTCCAGTGTAGTTCCCTGAGGGCCGTCGTGGTATCGGCTTGAGGGGGAATATACATGGCTGTGACTATAACCGAAGAGAATTCTCTTGGGAGGTAATATGGTCGGCATTTGATTGTGAGGTATTCTAGGTCGGGTGAACAAAAGGACTTGAGTTATTGTACGTTATCACAATCACACCAAGAGTAGTTAATCATGAAACATACACAACTGCCTTTCTTCTTCCCGGAGAGTTCTTTATTCCTGTCTGCGCAATGTACTGAGAACCCAGCTGGCTGTATGGACGGGGACAGTATATCTGGAGAGAGCCATGATTCCATGAAACAGAGTATGTTACAGTCCCTGATGTCTCTCTGGAAGGAGATCCTCACCCTGAGCTCGTCTACTTTATTGTCCAGGGACTGAACATTAGCGAGTAATATACTCGGAAGCGGTGAATGGTGTGCATGCCTCCTGAGTCAGACTAGAAGTCCACTACGAATACCTCTTCTCCGCCGGTGGCGTCTTGGAGCAGCCTCTGGGATAAGTTCAATTGCCCTGGGGGGTACGAACAAAGGATCCAATTCGGGAAAGTCGTATTTCTGGTCGTAATGCTGTTGAGTTACCGCCGCTCTGATATCCCAAAGTTATTTCCGGCTGTATGTAAAAACACAAAAAACATTCTGGGCAAAAAATTTAAGAAATAACACACAAAAAACAAAATACTGCAAAGTTGCTTAAGAGGTAGAAGCAGAGCTGCCATGTCTGTCGGCGCCATTTTCACCAATGCAACGCATGAAACAATGTTGATGATAACGGTGCTGTTTTCACATTGCTTCTTAATATAAATCCACTAGCATTCTATAATTACACTATTAGTTTGTGTTTCTTACATCTTACAGAAAACAGCTAGTTTGTCTTTTCTTAGCAAGTTGGACCTAAATCTTGTTAGCCACTAATTGGTAGCCACTAATGCTAATGACTAGCAAGCTAATAAATGTACTAAGTCAGAGCAAACATAATTAGCTAAACAGCCTGATACTAGTGATGGTGTAGAACTAAGTCAGCATTTTGTTTTTGGAACAGTATCTTCTAAATCAAAGAGGAATATGCGAAGAAAGAATATGTTCGCTACATGAAGTAGCTAAGAGAAAATATTAAATGTAGCAAAAGATTATAGGGTCCCCTATGAAACACTTGTCAACACTTTGGTTCCTACCCTGTCACAATAACTCCTCCCTGGCATTTTCATTCGTTGTCATGTCAAACAACACTGTATTCAAAGTGCCCAGTATTATATTCTAACTATAGAATTAGAATAATCATTCTATTTCCATAATTCCAACAGTTCACCCAAGTGTTTTTCTCTAAATCGCAAGTCAAATCGCAATTGCAACAATTGGTTAAACATAAGGCCTAGATTGTTTGCCCATATCGTGCAGCCCTACGTGGCAATGTGGAAATGATCTCAAATGAGTGCAGGAAATGCAGAAATAGCTGAAAATGCTGAAAATTATTGTGGGTTGAAGTTTAATTCAACATTATAAAGCAATCAGAGTTGAGAAAGACCCATTGAAATCACTTAGAATGTATGTGTTGCCACACTAGGGTCACACAGTACTCATAAAGCAAATGTAGAACTGTATTGTTCAAAAACATCAAATACCATCATACCGTCCATGCTCAATCATCTCCTTGTTTGTTTATGACTGCATTGAGGTTAGCTTTGTTGGCTCCAGTAATTTAATCATCATTGTTAATTGCTTCCACAAAAATACTTGACAAAGTTCCTAGTTATGACAGCATCTTTCTTGTTCGCTCTTCTCTCTTCCTTTCCTACCTTTTATCCTTCTCTTTCGTTCTCCCTATCCTCACTGTCTCCCCTCCCACCTTGGTAATGGCCTCTCTCCCCCCCCCCCTCCACTCAACTCCACTCCTTTATTCTCCTCCCCCATATCCCCCTTTTCTCTGAACCCCTCCCCGCTCTTTTTTTTTCTAGCCCTCCCTCTCTGTCTGAGCTCATAGCTGGCTGGCGTAGAGGTGGACTGCTGTACAGAGCTTGGTCTGTTATTCCCATCAGCCTGTACACGCAGGAAACCCACATGTGTGAAGGGAAAGACATGACATCTTTACATTACACTACTTAGACGACAAAAACTAGGTCCAGGAGAGATACGTAGTGTAAAGAGGCGCATCTAGATTCAAATCTCTCTTTAAGAGATATCTCTCACACTACCTCCGGATGTGGTGTGGGAGACATCTACACCACAAACCCTGAGTAGAACAGTCAGAGACGGAAGAGGAAGCAAGACACCCTACTCGCTGTTTTTCCCCCATTTTGTTTCTGGTTCAATGAAAGTCAATTAACTAAATAGAACAGACCCAGCTGATATTGCAATGCATTGGTGTCTATGGTTAAGTAGACCGAAATTGACAAATCTTTTTTTAATGGTAAACGGCCTGAGTGAACAAGCTTAATTTATCCATCTTTGGTACAGTGTAAAGACAACGGCTCTTCCACACCACATGCCCCTGCAAGAAATACCTTAATTACCTTAATACCAGTAGACAGTATTTTTTATCTGTTAGCCAAATTAAAAATGAAAGGCTTTTAAACCTCCACACATTTGTGAATCATTGCATTAATCAAGTGTGCAACACTATCTGCAATATGGTTTAGACGTGAAGCTCCTGTATTGAATTGCTATCGTTATTTTGTTTCTGTATATACTATGGTATTTACGGTATGCTAACAGCTGCAACTACACATGAAGCAGGAATGTGGCTTTGGCCACACCGCATCCAAGGCTTAGTGTAAACAGAAAAGTTGCAAATCTGATGTTGAAGTGAGATAGATCCCACTAGACATATTTTACTAATGTAAATCCAGGGAGAGAGAGAGAGAGAGAGAGAGAGAGAGAGAGAGAGAGAGAGAGAGAGAGAGAGAGAGAGAGAGAGAGAGAGAGAGAGAGAGAGAGAGACAGAGACAGAGAGACAGAGAGAGACAGACAGCCTTGACTTGCTCTGGATCCTATTAGCTCTCCCACATTTTTTCCCCTGCCCCATGGCAAAAAGTGTAGAATTGCAGGATATTAGCTTTAAAACTGCAACATTTTCTCTCTGCACAATGGTAAAACGTGTTGAATCCGCTCCGACAAAAATCGTCCCGCGGCTGAATCTAGTTGCCTACTTCTGTATTATACAGCCACACCCTATCGATGTAAAGTACAACATGAGTTATTATACATTGTTTGTATCTTTAAATCTGTTTATTCACTTATGGCCTTTTGATCTGGGAAGCATGTCTGTGGCCTGAATTTGCATCTCTATATGTGAGAGCCTGACTCCATCCCACAGACCTTAATAAAGCAAGCCTGTTAAACGCTGTGGACCCTAACAGCCAGCCAACTCCCTGTGGGTTGAGAATTTGTGCATGCAATCATGATTCCGTCCGTGCCTCTGTGACCTTTGAACCGGCCCCTGTTGCAGATGGTGACCTCTGACCTTTGGGAATGCCTCTAGCACTAATCAGAGGGGAGCAGCCAAGGGCATGATTTCCACCAACGTTATTCACATTGTTCTGAAGTGGGAAACAGAGACTTAGGTCACTCATATGATGGAGCTAGACAGACCGACACGAGGCTCAGTCAGACAGACACAATGGATGGGTGCATGGCTTTTATGGTGGTTGTGCTTGGTGGAGATGAGCTGAATCTAAGCCAGACTACTGAATGTGTTGTGTATGGTCATGTTCCCACCACAACCCCCCAGAGAGAGCTGTGTCAGTCTGCCTTGTCACACGCTGAGCCAGCACACTGCTAACACTAACAGGGGTTCCCTTTCAGTCAGTCAACTTCGGTACAACATACTATGGGGAGTCGCACTCTCACGACTTCGGTTGAATGCTTTACTATCACGCCTGACAAGGCCAATGCAATCCGCACCTCGCTGGAAGCCCTACCTTCCACAGGTGATAAGCGTGAGGCTTGGATTCACTCCTTCAATTATTCCGCTCTTCACCTCGGTTTGAACAGGAACGATTCATGGTAAAAAAAGAAAGAAAGGAAAACAAGACTGTCTTACGTTGCGCCTACTTAACTATCCCATAGTGGTAGAGCGTGCTCACATCCTGGACATTGTGTGCTGAAGTTTGTATTTCTCACAAGTTTCCTAATCACAAACACTTAGTTATTCTTCAATTTGCTGGAGCACTGAGTAAGATGGCTAAGAAAGCGACCGAGACGACTATGGCTAAGCCGGGTTCGGGGTCGAGGTCATGCCCCCAGTCATGTGGTTATACTATTTCTCTGAAAGATGCTCACGATTTATGTCTAGTTTGTCTGGGCTTGGAACACACTCAGGCGACCCTCGCTCAATCCAGTCCATGTGCGCATTGCTACATACTGCGTGCAAACTCCCAGGAAAGACGTGTAGCATTCTTGAGGAAGCTTGGAGTTACCGATGGCGACTTTCCTTTCCCGGATGCCCTGGACTGCTGGTGCAGTCGGTATTTCCTGGTTCCGGAAAGGAACAGGGGTTTACGCCTCATTCAAGACATCTGTGCCCTGAACAAACATCTCAGAGTTTGCAAGTTCAAAATGCTGACAAACCAGAAGCTGTTACGGTCTGTGCATCCAGCGGCTGTTAGGGTCAATATCAGGGGATATCTTTATCATACTGAACAAAAATATGAACTCAACATGCAACAATTTCAACGCTTTTACTGAGTCACAGTTCATATAAGGAAATAAGTCAATTGAAAAAAATGTATTAGGCCCTAATCTATGGATTTCACATGACTGGGCAGGGGCACAGCTATGGGTGGGCCTGGGAGGGCATAGGCCCACCCACTGGGGAGCTGTCCCAGCCAATCAGAATGAATTTTTCCCCACAAAAGGGCTTTATTACAGACTAAAATACTCCTCAGTTTCATCAGCTGTCCAGGTGGCTGGTCTCAGACGATACCGTAGGTGAAGAAGCTGGATGTGGAGGTCCAGGGATGGCATGGTTACACGTGGTCTGCGGTTGTGAGGCCAGTTGGGCGTACTGCCAAATTCTCTAAAACAAAGTTGGAGGCGGCTTATGGTAGACACATGAACATTCAATTCTCTGGCAACAGCTCTGGTGGACATTCCTGTAGTCAGCATGCCAATTGCACGGTCCCTCAAAACTTGAGACATCTGTGGCATTGTGTTGTGTGACAAAACTGCACATTTTTTAGTGGCCTTTAATTTTCCCCAGCACAAGGTGCACCTGTGTAATGATCATGCTGTTTAATCAGCTTCTTGATATGCCACACCTGTCAGGTGGATGGATTATCTTGGCAAATGAGAAATGCTCCCTAACAGGGATGTAAACAAATGTGTGTACAACAATTTAGAGAAATTAGCTTTTTGTGTGTATGGAACATTTCTGGGATCTTTTATTTCAGCTCATGAAACATGGAACCAACACTTTACATGTTCCGTTTATATTTTTGTTCAGTATATATATTTCTGGTTATCTGACATATTATTAGATATAAGGAGTAGACATGCTCCAGATACGTATTTCCTTCATTTTATATATGGAGCTAGGATATTCTCCATAATGGGACAGTTTCTACACGCATCCAATCCGGACCTCCATAATCTCACTGCTACTGTATGAGTCCAGGGAGATATCTGGGGTGAGGAACAGTGCATTCGTAAAGTATTCAGACCCCTTGACTTTTTCCACATTTTGTTGTTACATCCTTATTCTAAAATTGATTAAATAAATACAAATTCTCATCAATCTACACACAATACCCCATAATGACGAAGCGAAAACAGGTTTTTAGAAAATGTAGCAAATTTTTTTAAATAAATAAATACCTTATTTACATAAGTATTCAGACCCTTTGCTATGAGACTCGAAATTGAGCTCAGGTGCATCCTGTTTCCATTGATCATCCTTGAGATGTTTCTACAACTTGATTGGAGTCCACCTGTGCTAAATTCAACTGATTGGACATGATTTGGAAAGGCACACACCTGTCTATATAAGGTCCCACAGTTGACAGTGCATGTCAGAGCAAAAACCAAGCCATGAGGTCGAATGAATTGTCAGTTTAGCTCTGGGACAGATAATTTCTGCAGCATTGAAGGTCCCCAAGAACACAGTGGCCTCCATCAATATTCAATGGAAGTAGTTTGGAACCACCAAGACTCTCCCTAGAGCTGGCCACCCGGCCAAACTGAGCAATCAGGGGAGAAGGGCCTTGGTCAGGGAGGTGACCAAGAACCCGATGGTCACTGACAGAGCTCCAGAGTTCCTCTGTGGAGATGGCTAAGAAAGCGACCGTTTTAGAGAATATTCCAGAAGGACAACTATCTCTGCAGCACTCCACCAATCAGGCCTTTATGGTAGAGTGCCAGACAGAAGCCACTCCTCAGTAAAAGGCACATGACAGCCCGCTTGGAGTTTACCAAAAGGCACCTAAAGGACTCAGACCATGAAAAACAAAATTCTCTGGTCGGATGAAACCAAGATTGAACTCTTTGGCCTGAATGCCAAAGGTCATGTCTGGAGGAAACATGGCACCATCTCTACGGTGAAGCATGTTGGTGCCAGCATCATGCTGTGGGGAGTTTCCCAGCCAGAGCTCGGACTTGAACCCGATCAAACATCCCTGGAAAGACCTGAAAATAGCTGTGCATTGGCGCTCCCCACCCAACCTGACAGAGCTTGAGAGGATCTGCAGAGAAGAATGGGAGAAACTTCCCAAATACAGGTGTGCCAAGCTTGTAGCGTCATACCCAAGAAGACTTGAGGCTGTATGCACTCACTAACTGTAAGTCGTTCAGGATAAGAGCGTCTGCTAAATGACTAAAATATAATGTAAAATGTATGACAGCCATTCCATTCCAGTGTCTGTTGAATTCCAATACAGGCACACCTCATTCTACTGAATGAGATACTGATTAGGTGATCACCTGAACCAAATCTTATTTAACGAGGAAAAGTATTAAAACCACTGCTGTGGTCATCACTATCCTCTTGCAATAGGACATGCTGGATGGCAAAAACAGTGCTAATAGTACCTCAAAAGTAATATTAATCAAAAAATAACCATTGAACATGCCAAAAGAGTTTAAAAGGAAAGTTTTGAGTGAGGAAAAGAAGGGTTCAATTCTGGCTTTACTGGCAGAGGGATACAGTGAGCGTCAGGTTGCTTCCATCCATAAAATGTCAATGATGGCGGTTCATAAGAACTAGTTCAAGCAGCAGACATTGGGGACAACAAATTTACAGACCGGCAGAGGGTGCAAAGCTGTCGTCAAGGCAAAGGGTGGCTATTTAAAGAATCTCAAATATAAAATATATTTTGATTTGTTTAACACTTTTTTGGTTATTACATGATTGCATATGTGTTATTTCATAGTTTTGATGTCTTCACTATTATTCTACTAATAAATACAACTTTTTACAGGTAGTGTATATATATATATACAGTGGGGAGAACAAGTATTTGATACAGTGCCGATTTTGCAGGTTTTCCTACTTATAAAGCATGTAGAGGTCTGTAATTTGTATCATAGGTACACTTCAACTGTGAGAGACGGAATCTAAAACAAAAATCCAGAAAATCACATTGTATGATTTTTAAGTAATTAATTTGCATTTTATTGCATGACATAAGTATTTGATACATCAGAAAAGCAGAACTTAATATTTGGAACAGAAACCTTTGTTTGCAATTACAGAGATCATTCGTTTCCTGTAGGTCTTGACCAGGTTTGCACACACTGCAGCAGGGATTTTGGCCCACTCCTCCATACAGACCTTCTCCAGATCCTTCAGGTTTCGGGGCTGTCGCTGGGCAATACGGACTTTCAGCTCCCTCCAAAGATGTTCTATTGGGTTCAGGTCTGGAGACTGGCTAGGCCACTCCAGGACCTTGAGATGCTTCTTACGGAGCCACTCCTTAGTTGCCCTGGTTGTGTGTTTCGGGTCGTTGTCATGCTGGAAGACCCAGCCACGACCCATCTTCAATGCTCTTACTGAGGGAAGAAGGTTGTTGGCCAAGATCTCGCGATACATGGCCCCATCCATCCTCCCCTCAATATGGCGCAGTAGTCCTGTCCCCTTTGCAGAAAAGCATCCCCAAAGAATGATGTTTCCACCTCCATGCTTCACGGTTGGGATGGTGTTCTTGGGGTTGTACTCATCCTTCTTCTTCCTCCAAACACGGCGAGTGGAGTTTAGACCAAAAAGCTCTATTTTTGTCTCATCAGACCACATGACCTTCGCCCATTCCTCCTCTGGATCATCCAAATGGTCATTGGCAAACTTCAGACGGGCCTGGACATGCGCTGGCTTGAGCAGGGGGACCTTGCGTGCGCTGCAGGATTTTAATCCATGACGGCGTAGTGTGTTACTAATGGTTTTCTTTGAGACTGTGTTCCCAGCTCTCTTCAGGTCATTGACCAGGTCCTGCCGTGTAGTTCTGGGCTGATCCCTCACCTTCCTCATGATCATTGATGCCCCACGAGGTGAGATCTTGCATGGAGCCCCAGACCGAGGGTGATTGACCGTCATTTTCTAATAATTGCGCCAACAGTTGTTGCCTTCTCACCAAGCTGCTTGCCTATTGTCCTGTAGCCCATCCCAGCCTTGTGCTGGTCTACAATTTTATCCCTGATGTCCTTACACAGCTCTCTGGTCTTGGCCATTGTGGAGAGGTTGGAGTCTGTTTGACTGAGTGTGTGGACAGGTGTCTTTTATACAGGTAACGAGTTCAAACAGGTGCAGTTAATACAGGTCATGAGTGGAGAACAGGAGGGCTTCTTAAAGAAAAACTAACAGGTCTGTGAGAGCCAGAATTCTTACTGGTTGGTAGGTGATCAAATACTTATGTCATGCAATAAAATGCAAATTAATTACTTAAAAATCATACAATGTGATTTTCTGGATTTTTGTTTTAGATTCCGTCTCCCACAGTCGAAGTGTACATATGATAAAAATTACAGACCTCTACATGCTTTGTAAGTAGGAAAACCTGCAAAATCGGCAGTGTATCAAATACTTGTTCTCCCCACTGTATAAACAAGCTGAAAGAGATGATTCTGAAAGTATGGTTTCACAATAATACACTAATTCAGACATGGTTACCCAGATAGCCTGTCTGCTGAGGTCTTTATAGAGATGAGTTGTAGGGGTTAATCAATGTCCTCATTGTCTGTGGGCTAATGTATAGGGCTTTTAGAATGGCCTGCCTCTGGCCAGCACTAGGCACAGTGACCTCTCCATTATAACGTCTTAATAGAGGTCCTACTTTACTGTACTTTACTGTATTTGCGTTGTATAAGAGATTCATATAGCAAAACATCATTGTCTTTGTCCTTAGCTCATAGGAACAAGGCAAATGTGTGATGTAATCTAATTTGTGAATGTGCTGATACTGATGATATTTGACAGAGCTCTTTTAAAAAATGGGACAACCTTGAACAAATGATGTGATATTCAATGTTACCTGTCCTGTCATGCTGTACACTATACACCCAATGTGACTCCATAAAGTAACCCTAGTCGGAGAGAGATTGGCAGGCACTATCTCAACAGTAAACCTGTTTCTGCATGGGCTTGAAAGTGAGGTGAATGGTTCAAGGCGTTTTGCTTATAGGGCATAGAGATCACACACACACTCTCTCTCTCTCTCTCTCTCTCTCTCTCTCTCTCTCTCTCTCTCTCTCTCTCTCTCTCTCTCTCTCTCTCTCTCTCTCTCTCTCACACACATACAGTTGAAGTCAGAAGTTTACATACACTTAGGTTGGAGTCATTAAAACTTGTTTTTCAACCACTCCACACATTTCTTGTTAACAAACTATAGTTTTGGCAAGTCGGTTAGGACATCTACTTTGTGCATGACACAAGTCATTTTCCCAACAATTGTTTACAGATAGATTATTTCACTTATAATTCACTTTATCACAATTCCAGTGGGTCAGAAGTTTACATACACTAAGTTGACTGTGCCTTTAAATAGCTTGGAAAATTCCAGAAAATGATGTCATGGCTTTAGAAGCTTCTGATAGGCTAATTGACATCATTTGAGTCAATTGGAGGTGTACCTGTGGATGTATTTCAAGGCCTACCTTCAAACTCAGTGCCTCTTTGCTTGACATCATGGGAAAATCAAAAGAAATCAGCCAAGACCTCAGAAATAAATTGTAGACCTCCACAAGTCTGGTTCATCCTTGGGAGCAATTCCCAAACGCCTGAAGGTACCACGTTCATCTATACAAACAATAGTACACAAGTATAAACACCATGGGACCACGCAGCCATCATACCACTCAGGAAGGAGACGCGTTCTGTCTCCTAGAGATGAACGTACTTTGGTGCGAAAAGTGCAAATCAATCCCAGAACAACAGCAAAGGACCTTGTGAAGATGCTGGAGGAAACAGGTATCTATACAAAAGTATCTATATCCACAGTAAAACGAGTCCTATATCGACATGACCTGAAAGGCCGCTGAGCAAGGAAGAAGTCACTGCTCCAAAACCGCCATAAAACAGCCAGACTACAGTTTGCAACTGCACATGGGGACGAAGATCATACTTTTTGGAGAAATGTCCTCTGGTCTGATTAAACAAAAATAGAACTGTTTGGCCATAATGACCATCATTATGTTTGGAGGAAAAAGAGGGTACTTGCAAGCCGAAGAACACCATCCCAACCGTAAAGCACGGGAGTGGCAGCATCATGCTGTGGGGGTGCTTTGCTGCAGGAGGGACTGGTGCACTTCACAAAATAGATGACATCATGAGGAAGGAAAATTATGTGGATATATTGAAGCAACATCTCAAGACATCAGTCAGGAAGTTAAAGCTTGGTCGCAAATGGTTCTTCCAAATGGACAATGACCCCAAGCATACTTCCAAAGTTGTGGCAAAATGGCTTAAGGACAACAAAGTCAAGGTATTGGAGTGGCCATCACAAAGCCCTGACCTCAATCCTATAGAATATTTGTGGGCAGAACTGAAAAAGCGTGTGCGAGCAAGGAGGCCTACAAACCTGACTCAGTTACAACAGCTCTGTCAGGAGGAATGGGCCAAAATTCACCCAACTTATTGTGGGAAACTTGTGGAAGGCTACCAGAAACGTTTGACCCTGTCACGCCCTGACTCAGGTGACTCTTATATGTTGAGTCAGGGTGTGTATATTCTTTGTTGTGTATGTTCTATGTTGTTTTTCTAGTAGCTGTATATCTATGTTGGCCGGTGTGGTTCCCAATCAGAGGCAGCTGTCGCTTAGGCAGCCTATTGGCACTAGTGTGTCGTGGGATCTTGTTCCGGTTAAGGTTCGTTGTATGTAAACCTTAGGATTTCACGTTTCGTTTCCTTTCTTGTTTTGTCGTGTGTTTATTCAGTGTAAATAAACATGTACGTATATCACGCTGCGCCTTGGTCTGACCCGTCATTAGACGAACGTGACAGACCCAAGTTAAACAATTTAAAGGCAATGCTACCAAATACTAATTGAGTGTATGTAAACTTCTGACCAACTGGGAATGTGATGAAATAAATAAAAGCTGAAATAAATCATTCTCTCTACTATTATTCTGACATTTCACATTCTTAAAATAAAGTGGTGATCCTAACTGACCTAAGACAGGGAATTTTTACTAGGATTAAATGTCAGGAATTGTGAAAAACTGAGTTTACGTGTATTTGGCTAAGGTGTATGTAAACTTCCGACTTCAAATGTACACTCTCACACACACACACACATACACACAAATGTGCACAAACATATACACACACACACAGCTCACAGAGGTAGGCCTCTCAACTCTGGCCCAGACTAATGAGTAGCGGTGGCCTGGTGCTCTTTCCCCATGCACTCTCCTCTGCTGGTCCAGATGTCAGGGACACACCCCCAGCAGGCCTAAGATTTACTTCCTCCTGTCCTGGTCGTAAATTCCCCCCCAAACACATATTCACACCCAACATGCTATAGCTAGCTCTCTCTCTCTCTCTCTCTCTCTCTCTCTCTCTCTCTCTCTACCGCTTGTGTCCACTGAATTAGGCCATCTAGGGCCAGTGTCCCAGACCTAGATTAAGCATATTCATGTAGATTACATTGTGGTAGGTAGGCCTGCAGGTAGCCTAGCGGTTAGAGCATTGGGTCAGTAACCAAAAAGTTTCTGGTTCGAACACATGCGGCACTTAACCCTCAATCGCTCCAGGTGTGCCGTACTACTATGCTGACCCAGTAATACAACACATTTCACTGCACCAATCCGGTGTATGTGACAATAAAACATATTTTATATTATGATGATACTGGTGAAGTGGTCTGATAGGACTCAGATGTTTGGTAGTGCTACCTGCCTCAGTCATGTGAATGATCCTATTGTTATGACTAGACACCATCTTTAGCCATCTCTGATTTGTGTGTGTGTAGTGTTGCGTATTTTCAGGGATCTCATACAGTATGAATGTCATCCTTGAGAGTGTGTGACCTGAGCTGAGATTGAGTGAGCAGAGAGCAGTAGGAACAGAAACCCTGCAGCGCACCATGCATAGTTGACATGGGTTTCAGGTGAGAGTGAGTCACTGTGTGTTATTGTTCAGATGTTGTATAATAAGTGCCTCACTGTTTTACGCAGGGCCCCTCGCTAACAAGCATAATGGACAGGAAGAAAGAGAGAGGGAAGGAATGAGAGAAAAGGAGAGAGAGAAAGAGAGAGAGTCATGGTTGAACAGAGCTCATCTGCTGGCACATTTTGGACATGCATCACTCTGTGGGGATGCTAGTTAGGATTTAGGCAAAAGTATGTGCAACCAATACCAACAGTGTGTGTGTGTGTGTGTGTGTGTGTGTGTGTGTGTGTGTGTGTGTGTGTGTGTGTGTGTGTGCGCGCGCTCGTAGTGTCGACTTAAAAGGATACTTCGGAATTTTGGCAATGAGGCCCTTAATCTACTTCCCCAGAATCAGATGAACTCATGGATACCATTTGTATGTCTCTGTGTCCAGTATGAAGGAAGTTAGAGGTAGTTGCACAAGCCAATGCTAACTAGCATTAGCGCAATGACTGGAAGTCTACGGTATCTAGCACAATGACTAGAAGTCTATGGGTATCTGGGTATCTGCTAGCATGCTAGCAGATACCCATAGACTTCCAGAGACATACAAATTGTATTGATTAGTTAATCTAACTCTGGGGAAGTGGATAAAGGGCCTCAGTGCCAATATCCCAAAGTATCAATTTAACACATGTGGTCTGCATGTTATTCTGTTGAATTATAGGCTAGTCATTAGTCTTTTACACAAAGTCTTTAGACAGATTTAAAACCAACTATGAACATTAACATTAACCCATGCTAACAGGGGTTCTATCACTGCCATTGATCTGCACTCAAAGACACAGTTTAGTCATTCAGCAGATGCTCTTATCCAACATGACTTACAGGAGCAGCTATGGTTAAGTGCCTTGTTCAAGGGCACATCAACAGATTTTTCACCTAGGCGACCTTTCTATTACTGGCATAATGCTCTTAACCTGCCACCCGACACTAGTGCTAAGCTGTAAACAAACCAAATGTTGGCTCACTGAATCGCTGGATCCATGGTTGTGATGATGTAGTGTGTTTGTGCTCCTGTCTCTAAGCTGTCTCTCTCTATCTCTCCACAGGGCTCTATTCACCTACGATGGGGCCACCAACAACCTCAAACTGACTGACTCTGGAGGTAAAGGGTTTTTCCACCTGTAGTTAGTAACAGATACGATTAGCATTCCAGAAAGAATATTTTGGTGTCTAGTGGTCAAAACCTGGTACTTTCACGCTACTTTATGGTAAATAGTGCAAGCGACTTCAATAAACAAATTCTCTGAACAGGGGGAAAAAAACATCACCAGATTCACAGGGAATACATTACATAGAATGGAGAAGCAATACTCAAAGCCGCAGCTTCATACTACTTGTCAAACATATAAAACTGAAACTGTATACTGGTTGTTGGGGTGGGATTGGCATGGGTTGTGGGGAGTCCGTGGGTGGCTTACTCATTGGTAAGAAGATGTTGGGTACAATATTTATTGATTATTATTTGAATCCTATAAATTAAAATGGCCAATTTGGGTGCAATCAATTAGCTTAATTACATTTCAACAAAATAATGTTTCAGGAATGCCAATATTACCTGTTTCTCACTACAGAATCAATTTCAGAACAATCTGAGATGGTGGGTGTCATGGCTTGCTGAAATAACATGTAACGACTCTAAAGCTAACTGGATGATTCTAACTTTCCATTTCTTCGTTTTTTTGTGACTTTTCCCCCTGGAAATGATAAAGATGGAAAGTTGGTGGTGTTTATTAAGCTCTCTCCTCTCTCTCTTTCTATCTCTCTCTCCTCTGTCTGTCCTACAGCAGGTGGAGTGGTGGAGTTGTCAGGGAAGTTCCACATAGCCAGGCCTCTGTATGGGCTCTGCAGGGTGGGCTCAGCCGAGACAGGAAGCCCTCGGGTTGCCATGATCTGCTGGGTGAGTGTCATACACTACAACATGGCCCTCTGATACAGTCGTATGGACATGCCCTACAGTATGTTACCTGATAAACTCCAATGATCTGATGCTTGAGGTAGAAGTTGCCCATAACCACAGATCTAGGATCAGATTCCCTTCCCTCAATCCTAACATTAACCATTAGGAGAATGGAAAAAATATCTGACCCTGTATCAGAAGTTATAGGCAAGCTGTTTCAAGCTGTCGTCTTCCACTGGCTCTAGCTACTGTTGGATGTGTTTTGATTGGTCCTTTGGTTAAGGGTCAATGTGTGTGATGTGTAAGTGAACTTGCGGACTCGGGACGCCAGGCCTAGCTTTTGACTGATACCAAATATTTTGACCGATGCGCACACACACACACACACACACACACACACACACACACACACACACACACATAAACACACACACACAAACACACAAACACAAACACACAAACACACACACACACACAAACACAAACATACACACAAGCAGGGGAGCAGATGCTTAGAATGTTCACAATGTGCTTCGCTGGTCCCGTCTCTATGGCGACCTTGTGGAATGTTGTTGTGTGGGTCAGGGGTGCATCTGTAGCCAGTCAGGCAGCAACACACACACACACACACACACACACACACAAACACACACACACACAAATCAGAAACTTGTGAAACATACTGTACCGCAAATAGATATCAGTGTACCTTAATTATCTTGTATAAGATATGTAACATGCTAACAACTGTAGGCTTACTCTATAACATTGTCAAAATACTTCCACAAGGGTGTACATGCAGTACCTGATGACAAAAGACTGAAACTAGACTTTCTGATAGTGAGACAGAGGCTGGAGTAAAAAGAGCTTAACACCCCCTGTGTGTTTCCTGTGTTTGTCTCCAGGTCGGGCCAAACGTGGATGAGTACCGCAGGACGGAATGTGCCAGTCATGTGCCCGCTATCAAGGCCTTCTTCAAGGTAAAGTACCACACCACTCCTACCCCTGCCATGCCCTGCCCTGCGTTACCAGTTTGTCTGTTGGTCATGCAGTCAGTTTGAGTGACCTTATTGCAGCTGCAGCATTTGATAGCATTCAGGAGTGGCATAATAATAGCTATCCATCTCCTACAATCCTGTGTTGGTACCATTGTGGAATGTTGCTCTCCGTGGATGGCTGTTTTGTTTCTTCACTCTGTTTCTCTAACAATGAATAATGAATCAACGGACTCCTGTAGTAACTGTCAAGACAATACAGAGAGTTGGTGATGCTCGTGTGGGAAGGGTGGAACTCGCCTGACCAGGCCCGAAGGAATGAATGGTCATGTTGTCACACACACATGAATGGTCATGTTGTCACACACACTTAGATACACACACATGAATGGTCATGTTGTCACACACACTTAGATACACACACACACACACGCATCAAACTCGCACCAGCACGTGCATTATGTGCACACACATACATCAGTAAATACGCACCAGCAGGCACACACACACACACACACACACACACACACACACACACACACAACTTCTCTCAGTCTCTCACACATACAAACATAGATACACAAACATGCTCTATATTTACACACAGTAGTTTACCTTCCATTGTTGTAGGTCTTCCTGTCCTCAGTGCACTTCCTACTGCATGGGTTGGTCTGGTCCAGTGGTGGGCTGGGCCCATACCCAGGCTGGGGTCCACTCTTCCTGACCCTATTGTTCCTGGTGCCACTAAGATGGGAGATGGGCCACCGACAGGCACAACACAAACAACCACTCACTAAGTGGTGACAGGGCCTCGCAGGAAACAGAGAAAGGAATGGGGGAATACAGGGAGGAGAAGGAGGAGGAGGGGAAGAGAGGGATAATCTGTGTTTGTGTGTTTGTGTGTTTGGGGGTGTGTGGGTGTGTGCGCATGTGTGTGTGTGGTGTATGCGTGTGTGCGTGCGCACAGTGTGTGTTAAGTGGCCAGATGCTGGCAGCTCTGTCTGCTGTGTCCCTCCAGTGTTTATTTAACATTTCCATCTAACTGCAGAGAAGTTTATGGATCGCCCATTCGGCCTATAGTCAGACCCCGTTTTAACTCGTTTCCATATAAAGGCATCACCCGGTCAACTCCAGAAGCATCCCTGGAATGTTTGATGTTAGGTTTTTTTGTCTTTTTTTTAACCTCAATTAAGTATTTGGCCTGGGAACCTCTGTGACCTCCAGTCTCAGATATACAAGACTGTGTGTGTGTGTGTGTGTTTATTACGTAATACAAATGTGTGTGTTTCTATATGTATTCTTGGCCCCCTGGGTTGCACTGTGGGTTATTCCTTGATAAAAGACTGATGGTGACACTGAAGTCGACAGGGTCTGAACCCACATATTTGTGTAGGAATACCCCTCTGAAGTGTGGGAGAAGTAGGATCCCTAACCAAACACACACACACATGTATGCTACATGCACCCATGCACACACACACACACACACACACACACACACACACACACACACACACACACACACACACACTCTCACTTCCAGTCAGATACAATATGGCATTTTCACTGCACTAATGTCATATTACCTTATTTTTTTTATCACTTTGGTGCTATTTTCACAAGTATGTGGTGAATTAATCGTGTATTGTATTTTATAGTATTGTATTGTAATTATTTATGTATTGTAGTGGTCCTGTATGTGGCTCAGTTCATAAGAGCATGGCACTAGTAACACCAGAGATGTTGGTTTGATTCCCATTGGAAACACATACCAAAATGTGTGGACTGTTGTCACTTTGGATAAAAGTGTCTGCTACATAAATTGCATATATTACAGTATTACAGTACTGTATTGGCCAATTACATTTTAGTACAGCAGTGTGAACCCCCACTCATCAAAAAGACCCCAGCAACTTCATTTTGGATACATGTTTAATAGGGGGTGCATTTCTTTCTTGTTTTGGACCTTCTGGATTATTTGCTTATTGGTATTGTATTGTATTGATATTCTATTACTGCACTGTAGGAGCTAGAAACACAAGCATTTCGCTGCACCTGCTGTAACATCTGCCAATCTGTGTACGCGACCAATACATTTAGATTTGATGTGTTACATACAGTACATCTCTAATCTTGTCAATATCAGATTTTTTAAAAACTTACTGTGAAGTAAAATCATGTTAGTCATCATCATAGTAGTGCATTCGAGGATATATCATACTTAATATGTTTTTACATTACAAACATACATTTTCATTATATATTCCTCCAAATCTGTAGTAGACAAAACAGTTTACATATAAAATCTATAGGTTTACCAAACGTTTAAGTGATCATCAATTAAGAGCTGTCGAATTAAGTAATAGTAAAATGTATTTTAACAGAAAATAATCATATCAAAAGTACTGTGAGCATTGTGAAGGGCAATTACTTTATATGAACATGTATTGCAATGTGAAACATATATATATATAAACTCAGCAAAAAAAAGAAACGTCCCTTTTTCAGGACCCTGTCTTTCAAAGATAATTTGTAAAATTCCAAATAATTTCACAGATCTTCAATGTAAAGGGTTTAAACACTGTTTCCCATGCTTGTTCAATGAACCATAAACAATTAATGAACATACACCTGTGGAACGGTCGTTAAGACACTAACAGCTTACAGATGGTAGGCAATTAAGGTCACAGTTATGAAAACTTAGGACACTAAAGAGGCCTTTCTACTGACTCTGAAAAACACCAAAAGAAAGATGCCCAGGGTCCCTGCTCATCTGCGTGAACGTGCCTTACGCATGCTGCAAGGAGGCATGAGGACTGCAGATGTGGCCAGGGCAATAAATTGCAATGTCTGTACTGTGAGACGCGGACAGCTGATCGTCCTCGCAGTGGCAGACCACGTGTAACAACACCTGCACAGGATCGGTACATCCGAACGTCACACCTGTGGGACAGGTACAGGATGGCAACAACAACTGCCCGAGTTATACCAGGAACGCACAATCCCTCCATCAGTGCTCAGACTGTCCGCAATAGGTTCAGAGAGACTGGACTGAGGGCTTGTAGGCCTGTTGTAATGCAGGTCCTCACCAGACATCACCGGCAACAACATCGCCTATGGGCACAAACCCACCGTCGCTGGACCAGACAGGACTGGCAAAAAGTGCTCTTCACTGACGAGTCATGGTTTTGTCTCAACAGGGTTGATGGTCGGATTCGCGTTTATCGTCGAAGGAATGAGCGTTACACCGAGGCCTGTATTCTGGAGCGGGATCGATTTGGAGGTCCGTCATGGTCTGGGGCGGTGTGTCACAGCATCATCGGACTGAGCTTGTTGTCATTGCAGGCAATCTCAACGCTGTGCGTTACAGGGAAGACATCCTCCTCCCTTATGTGGTACCCTTCCTGCAGGCTCATCCTGACGTGACCCTCCAGCATGACAATGCCACCAGCCATACTGCTCGTTCTGTGCATGATTTCCTGCAAGACAGGAATGTCAGTGTTCTGCCATGGCCAGCGAAGAGCCCGGATCTCAATCCCATTGAGCATGTCTTGGACCTGTTGGATCGGAGGGTGAGGGCTATGGCCATTCCCCCAATACATTTCCGGGAACTTGCAGGTGCCTTGGTGGAAGAGTGGGGTAACATCTCACAGCAAGTGCTGGCAAATCTGGTGCAGTCCATGAGGAGGAGATGCACTGCAGTACTTCATGCACTTTAGATTTTGACCACCCCTTTGTTCAGGGACAGATTATTCTATTTCTGTTAGTCACATGTCTGTGGAACTTGTTCAGTTTATGTCTCAGTTGTTGAATCTTGTTATGTTCATACAAATATTTACACATGTTAAGTTTGCTGAAAATAAACGCAGTTGACAGTGAGAGGACGTTTCTTTTTTTGCTGAGTTTATATATATACAGTGGGGAGAACAAGTATTTGATACACTGCCGATTTTGCAGGTTTTCCTACTTAAAAAGCATGTAGAGGTCTGTAAGTTTTATCATAGGTACACTTCGACTGTGGGAGACGGAATCTAAAACAAAAATCCAGAAAATCACATTGTATGATTTTTAAGTAATTAATTTGCATTTTATTGCACCCCACAGCACCCCACAGCATGATGCTGCCACCCCCATGCTTCACGGTTGGGATGGTGTTCTTCGGCTTGCAAGCAACCCCCTTTTTCCTCCAAACATAACGATGGTCATTATGGCCAAACAGTTCTATTTTTGTTTCATCAGACCAGAGGACATTTCTCCAAAAAGTACGATCTTTGTCCCCATGTGCAGTTGCAAACCATAGTCTGGCTTTTTGATGGCGGTTTTGGAGCAGTGGCTTCTTCCTTGCTCAGCGGCCTTTCAGGTTATGTCGATATAGGACTTGTTTTACTGTGGATATATATATACTTTTGTACCTGTTTCCTCCAGCATCTTCACAAGGTCCTATGCTGTTGTTCTGGGATTGATTTGCACTTTTCGCACCAAAGTACGTTAATCTCTAGTAGACAGAACGCGTCTCCTTCCTGAGCGGTATGACGGCTGCGTGGTCCCATGGTGTTTATACTTGCGTACTATTGTTTGTACAGATGAACGTGGTACCTTCAGGCGTTTGGAAATTGCTCCCAAGGATGAACCAGACTTGTGGAGGTCTACAATTTCTTTTCTGAGGTCTTGGCTGATTTATTTTGATTTTCCCATGATGTCAGGCAAAGAGGCACTGAGTTTGAAGATAGGCCTTGAAATACATCCCAGGTACACCTTCAATTGACTCAAATGATGTGAATTAGCCTATCAGAAGCTTCTAAAGACATGACATCATTTTCTGGAATTTTCCAAGCTGTTTAAAGGCACAGTCAACTTAGTGTATGTAAACTTCTGACCCACTGGAATTGTGATACAGTGAATTATAAGTGAAATAATCTGTCTGTAAACAATTGTTGGAAGAATTACTTGTGTCATGCACAAAGTAGATGTCTTAACCGACTTGCCAAAACTATAGTTTGTTAACAAGAAATTTGTGGAGTGGTTGAAAAACAAGTTTTAATGACTCCAACCTAAGTGTATGTAAACTTCCAACTTCAACTGTATATTATCACTTGATGAGAGAACAGCTGTGCAGCCTGAGGCAAGGCTACTTTCTCAAATCATTACATTTACATTTTAGTCATTTAGCAGACGCTATTATCCAGAGCGACTTACAGTTAGTGAGTGCATACATTTTCATACTGGCCCCCCGTGGGAATCGAACCCACAACCCTGGCATTGCAAACGTCATGCTCTACCAACTGAGCTACACGGGGGGCCAAATCATCAATCATCAATAGCCTATAGTCGCACCATTCAGCCAAAATACAGTACCAGTCAAACGTTTGGACACACCTACTCATTCAAGGGTTTTTCAGTATTTTTACTATTTTCTACAATGTGGAATAATAGTGAAGACATCAAAACTATGAAATAACACATGGAATCATGTAGTAACCAAAAAAGTGTTAAACAAATCTAAATATATTTTTTATTTGAGCTTCTTCAAATAGCCACCCTTTGCCTTGATGACAGCTTTTCACACTCTTGGCATTCTCTCAACCAGCTTCACCTGGAATGCTTTTCCAACAGTATTGAAGGATTTTCCACATATGCTGAGCACTTGTTGGCTGCTTTTCCTTCACGCTGCAGTCCGACTCATCCCAAACCATGTCAATTGGGTTGAGGTCGGGGGATTGTGGAGGCCAGGTCATCTGATGCAGCACTCCATCGCTCTCCTTTTTGGTAAAATAGCCCTTACACAGCCTGGAGGTGTGTTGGGTCATTGTCCTGTTGAAAAACAAATTATAGTCCCACTAAGCCCAAACCAGATGGGATGGTGTATTGCTGCAGAATGCTGTGGTAGCCATGCTGGTTAAGTGTGCCTTGAATTCTAAATAAATCACAGACAGTGTCACCAGCAAAGCACCCCCACACCATAACACCTCCTCCTCCATGCTTTACGGTTGGAACTACACATGCGGAGATCATCCATTCACCCACACCGCGTCTCACAAAGACACGGCGGTTGGAACCAAAAATCTACAATTTGGACTCCAGACCAAAGGACAAATTTCCACTGGTCTAATGTCCATTGCTTGTGTTTTTTGGCCCAAGCAGGTCTCTTCTTATTATTGGTGTCCTTTAGCAGTGGTTTCTTTGCAGCAATTCGACCATGAAGGCCTGATTCACACAGTCCACTCTGAACAGTTGTTGTTGAGATTTGTCTGTGACTTGAACTCTGTGAAGCATTTATTTGGGCTGCAATTTCTGAGGCTGGTAACTCTAATGAATTTATACTCTGCAGCAGAGGTAACTCTGGGTCTTCCATTCCTGTGGCGGTCCTCATGAGAGCCAGTTTCATCAAAGCGCTTGATGGTTTTTGTGACTGCACTTGAAGAAACTTTCAAAGTTCTTGAAATGTTCCGTATTGACTGACTTTCATGTCTTAAAGTAATGATGGACTGTCGTTTCTCTTTGCTTATTTGAGCTGTTCTTGCCATAATATGGACCTGGTCTTTTACCAAATAGGGCTATCTTCTGTATACCCCCCCTACCTTGTCACAACACAACTTATTGTCATTAAGAAGGAAAGTAATTCCACAAATTAACTTTTAAGAAGGCTACCTCATGAAGCTGGTTGGTGTATGTTTTGATTTCTAAGACATTCTAAGGTTTGTATTATTTACAACTAAAGTTGCCAAATAACTCTAAATCTAGCATATAGGACCTGTTTCAAATGATCACTTTTACGCTCACTCGCTCCATAATTGGAAAAATATCCTTTCTATTTTATTCAGCTAAGTTCAATTATACTGAACAAAAATTTAAATGCAACATGCACACCCACTTCGGAGGCAGGCCCACCCACTGGGGAGCCAGGCCCAGCCAATCTGAATGAGTTTTTCCCCACAAAAGGGCTTTATTACAGACAGTAATACTCCTCAGTTTCATCAGAAGTCTCGATGGCTGGTTTTAGACAATCCCGCAGGTGAAGAAGCTGGATGTGGAGGTTCTGGGCTGGCATGGTTACACGTGGTCTGCAATTGTGAGGCTGGTTGGACATACTGCCAAATTCTCTATGACGAGGTTGGAGGCGGTTTATGGTAGAGAAATTAACATTAAATTCTCTAGCAACAGCTCTGGTGGACATTCCTGTAGTCAGCATACCAATTGCATTGTGTTGTGTGACGAAACTGCACATTTTAGAGTGGCCTTTTATTGTCCCCAGAAAAAGGTGCACCTGTGTAATGATCATGCTATTTAATCAGCTTCTTGATATGCCACACCTGTCAGGTGAATGGATTATCTTGGCAATGGAGAAATGCTCACTAACAGGGATGTAAACAAATTTGTGCACAACATTTTAGAGAAATAAGCTTTTTGTGCGTATGGAACATTTCTGGGATCTTTTATTTCAGCTCATGGGACCAACACTTTATATGTTGAGTTTATATTTTTGTCCAGTATATATTCTTCTTACTATAAAATCATATAAAATAAAATAATGGCATGGGTTTAGAAGCATATCTTGTCAGCTAAATGAACAAGCCTACAGCCTATGGCATGGAACATAGCCAGATAGGCCAACTCATATTTTCTTCATATCATAATGTTTATTTAGACTGACTAAAATAAATAATGAATTTATTGTGATGGTGTATATTAAATTGATGTATTATACTTTTTGAAATGTAGATGTTCCAAAGGCGCACATCAGTGGCTTGTATGTGTAGAGAACTGGAGATGCTAAACGTGTTTTTGTTAATTGGCGGTACATTTCCGCGAGACTGGCAGACTTTTGCATGACAATAACCATCTGACAAAATGTCATGACCGCCACATACACCATATACAGTGAGGGAAAAAAAGTATTTGATCCCCTGCTGATTTTGTACATTTGCCCACTGACAAAGACATGATCAGTCTATAATTTTAATGGTAGGTTTATTTGAACAGTGAGAGACAGAATAACAACAAAACAATCCAGAAATACGCATTGTCAAAAATGTTATAAATTGATTTTGTATTTTAATGAGGGAAATAAGTATTTGACCCATCTGCAAAACATGACTTAGTACTTGGTGGCAAAACCCTTTTGGCAATCACAGAGGTCAGACGTTTCTTGTAGTTGGCCACCAGGTTTGCACACATCTCAGGAGGGATTTTGTCCCACTCTTCTTTGCAGATCTTCTCCAAGTCATTAAGGTTTTGAGGCTGACGTTTGGCAACTCAAACCTTCAGCTCCCTCCACAGATTTTCTATGGGATTAAGGTCTGGAGACTGGCTAGGCCACTCCAGGACCTTAATGTGCTTCTTCTTGAGCCACTCCTTTAATGCCTTGGCCGTGTGTTTTGGGTCATTGTCATGCTGGAATACCCATCCACAACCCATTTTCAATGCCCTGGCTGAGGGAAGGAGGTTCTCACCCAAGATTTGACGGTACATGGCTCCGTCCATCGTCCCTTTGATGCGGTGAAGTTGTCCTGTCCCCTTAGCAGAAACCCCCCCCCAAAGCATAATGTTTCCACCTCCATGTTTGACGGTGGGGATGGTGTTCTTGGGGTCATAGGCAGCATTCCTCCTCCTCCAAACACGGCGAATTGAGTTGATGCCAAAGAGCTCGATTTTGGTCTCATCTGACCACAACACTTTCACCCAGTTCTCCTCTGAATCATTCAGATGTTCATTGGCAAACTTCAGACGGGCCTGTATTTGTGTTTCTTAAGCAGGGGGACCTTGCGTGCGCTGTAGGATTTCAGTCCTTCGCGGCGTAGTGTGTTACCAATTGTTTTCTTGGTGACTATGGTCCCAGCTGCCTTGAGATCATTGACAAGATCCTCCTGTTTAGTTCTGGGCTGATTCCTCACCGTTCTCATGATCATTGCAACTCCATGAGGTGAGATCTTGCATGGAGCCCCAGGCAGAGGGAGATTGACATTTCTTTTGTGTTTCTTCCATTTGCGAATAATCGCACCAACTGTTGTCACCTTCTCACCAAGCTGCTTGGCGATGGTCTTGTAGCCCATTCCAGCCTTGTGTAGGTCTACAATCTTGTCCCTGACATCCTTGGAGAGTTCTTTGGTCTTGGCCATGGTGGAGAGTTTGGAATCTGATTGATTGATTGCTTCTGTGGACAGGTGTCTTTTATACAGGTAACAAACTGAGATCAGGAGCAATCCCTTTAAGAGTGTGCTCCTAATCTCAACTCGTTACCTGTATAAAAGACACCTGGGAGCCAGAAATCTTTCTGATTGAGAGGGGGTCAAATACTTATTTCCCTCATTAAAATGCAAATCAATTTATAACATTTTTGACAAGCGTTTTTCTGGATTTTGTTGTTGTTAATCTGTCTCTCACTGTTCAAATAAACCTACCATTAAAATTATAGAGTGATCATTTCTTTGTCAGTGGGCAAACGTACCAAATCAGCAGGGGATCAAATCCTTTTTTCCCTCACTGTAGGTGCAGTGAAATGTGTTGTTTTACAGGGTCAGTCATAGTAGTACAGCACCCCTGGAGCACAATAGGGTTAAGTGCCTTGCTCAAGGGCGTATTGACAGATTTTGCACCTTGTCGGCTCAGGTATTCAATCCTGTAACCTTCCAGTTACTGGCCCAATGCTCTAAATGCTAGGCTACCTGCCACCCGAATAGATGAAACACTGATTAGGTTTGGTAAAAAAAAAGTGACTGTATGATTTTGTGTGTTGTTCTTAGTCAATTGAAAATGTGCTTAGAGTTTTGAACCAACTGCCTTTTTGATGATCATCTTTTGAGTTTTGTACTAAGAGTTTTGAAAATGGACCACATACTTGTGAAAATTGCACCAAAGCGATAAAAAAAATACGAACGCATCTGTGTAGCATTACAGCCCATCACATTGCAGTCCTGCTGTACTCTAGATTTGATTACCCCATTCTGGCAGACTTTCCACCTCTCACTGACGCTACATATTTGTCAACCTATTCTCTCTATCACCTTTGTAGGGTCTCTAAAACCACACGAGACGTGTGTCATACAGTGTTACTGCGTTATTTGATAAGTACAAAACTCACATAACCTCCTGCTTTGGTGAGTTAGGCCTCGTTCTGAAGCGAGTCTTATTTCTGGTGTAGCGCCCCCGTGTGGTGGAAATGGCAGTCAACATGCATAGACACTGCAACACCTCCAGCAAGCCTGATCCTGCTCTGTGATGAAGCTTAATAATAATCCTAGTGTCGATGAAGGATTAATGATTGAGTGAGTAATGGGAACTCGGTTATTGTTTGTTGTCCAAAAACCTCTGAATGAATAGTCAGGATTAGAACATTGGGATGTGCTTCGACAGAGTCAGAATGCCCCATGGCACCTCTTATATTCTCTGTTCTTTCTCTCTTTCTCTCTTTCTCTCTTTCTACCTCTGCAAGTCTCAGCTAGTAACAGAGGGCTGTGTGAGAGGGTGAATCACCAGCATCGTCAGGATGTGTATCATGATATGAAACAATATTATTGTATCAGTTGGTGATGCCGAAGCTAAGCGTGGGAGTCTTTTGCAAATTGGCTCATTGTTGCTCCACGACAGTAATTGATTAGTATTGAGAAGGAAGTCTGCATCGTGGACTGTGTACATTCTATCATGTGGAACAGACCAGTAGGCCTTGGGCCAGTAACCGAAAGGTAGCTGGTTAAAATCCACGAGCCGACTAGGTGACAAATCTGTCGATGTGCCCTTGAGCAAGGCACTTAACCCTAATTGGGGGCGGGGGGATTCAGGAGAAGATGAGAATGAAGAGACAGGAGGAGGAAAGTATAGGCGAGGTTGGAGGGGAGGAGTAAGAATGGAAGAATATAAGAAGTCTATGAAAGAGGAGAGGACAGGGAAAAGAGGGGAGGAGGAGTAGCAGTTGTGTATGTAGGGTTAATGAGCATGCTGTTAGCCGTGTTAGACAGTATTAGGGAGAGGCCTATCATCTGAAACATAATGACAGACAGGTAGGAGAGGCAGAGGAGATCATTTACACCCTCTTCACCACCACAACTCCCTCCATCCTCCCCTTCCTTCCTCTCTCAGTGGCACCTCCCACTGTGTGCGCGTGTGTGTTTGTGTGATTTACACACTAGGTTAGAGTTGGGGCTGGGCCTGTGAGGGTGTTTCATAGGAAACACACAGTACAGTACCTGCAGGTCTGATGTCACTGTGCCAGGACTGTAGGCCTGAAGGAAACCACAAGATTACTCTGTCAGAGACTCAGACAGCCTGCTCTACATAGTGGGATCTCTCTATTTCTCAACACACACACACAGACCCGGGCGCAAACACACACACATGTGTACCCACGTACACACACATAGGCCTATCTGAAGTGTATCAGTCCAGTGACAGTTTAGCAGTGGAACACAGTGTACTGTTCCGTGGTCATTTGTCATTGTTGAAATCTCTACATCCTATCTGCTCTCTCCGCTCTCCCCTCACCTCATTTAACTTTCCTAATTCTCCCAAACCTCCCCCCTACACACTCTTTCCTGTTTCTAGCCCCCTCTCTTCCTTCTCCCCCTCTCTGTCTATCTCTTCCAAACCGATAGATTCCTTCCTGTCTTCTCTAGTGTACGCCAGATACTCGTTTTGTTCTCTGTCCGTCCTCATCACAAGCTGTTACACAACTGTATAGCTTAGCTACAGCCCAAAGGCCACAGCCAAGAGGAAACCACTGAGGGGAAAGCTTTCAAAGAACTACTTTCAGACAGAGAGTGTGTGTGTGTGTGTGCGTCTGTGTGTGTGTGTACCTGTGTGTGTGCCTGTGTACCTGTGTGTGTGTGTGTGTGTGTGTGTGTGTGTGTGTGTGTGTGTGTGTGTGTGTGTGTGTGTGTGTGTGTGTGTGTGTGTGTGTGTGTGTGTGTGTGTGTGTGTGTGTGTGTGTGTGTGTGTGTGTGTGTGTGTGTGTGTGTGTGTGTGTGTGTGTGTTTGTGCATCTGTGCACATATGTATTCGGGGGGTCAGTGGGTACATGAAAAAGGAGGGAAAATATCCCCTTCTCTTTCCCTCGTTTGGAATGCCGTGGCAGAATTGTATTGGAGTTTGAAGTTTCACACGTTTGATACTGTAGATCATAGCAGCCAATAAAAATGTCATTCTTGTTCCCAAAAGTTCTGGAAAGGATCAAGTGACATCATGTGTCTGTGGCAAAGTTGTGGTGTGCAGGCCAAGAATTCACCAATTTACTGGATAACTGAAGTCCTTCCTTGGAATATTAACCTAAAATACTGAAAGGATGTTCAGGACCTCAGCTTGAGTCCCTTCAATAATCTTTAATGCTGACATGCTTTGCAGCAAGTGTCAGGGCACTGTGTGACAAAGATTAACGGCAACCAACCTGTCACAACCTTACAGACTTGACATCAGCAGTCTGTGCAGCAGGTTCCTATTGTAGTTCACCTCTCTCTCTCTCCTCTCTCTCTCTCTCTCCCCTCTCTCCTCTCTCCTCATCTCTCTCATCTCATCTCTCTCTATCTCTCTCTCTCTCTCTCTCTCTCTCTCGCTCTCTCTCTCGCTCTCAGGAGGCTCATGTGTTTATCAGTGCTGAGAGTACGGAGGATGTCACAGAGGAGAAGATAGGCGCTGAGCTCAGTAAAGTCCACCCCCAGAGTGAACAAGTCAGAAGAAGCAGTCGGTACAAGGACAAGGAGGAGACAGTGGTGAGTGCTTCTCCTGCAATACCATCTCTGTCCATAGGAGGGGGCGCTAACACCTGGACAAAACCCAGAACTGTGCTTTTACATGGAGGAGGGTCCCATACATTCAGATTCTCTCAGTTTTAATCTATATTATGCATTGTACTTACTATATACTTACTGTATGTTTTGACATTTTTTCATACTTTATCAATTATGAGGTAAAAACAACCAAGGCTTTTGCAAATAGCATAAGTTACAAACTGTGTTTTGTATATGTACATACGGTGTTGTTCTCCATTCACACTCTCTTTCCTCTGCATCTTCCTATCTCTGTTGATAGGGCACTAACTACAGGAAGACTAATGCTGCCATGGAGATGAGACGGGCCAACAGAGACTCCTTCTGGGCACGTGCAGAGGTAGCCTACACAGAAACAAAGTCACAGTTACCCTCTTAGTTTTCTAGTAATTAATCAACAGGAGAAAAGTAGTTTTCATCTTTAATGTTCACATCACTTCACATCTTTAATGTTCACATTATCAACTGTAATAAGTCTTCATCTATTGTGTTCCATCTCTCTCTCTCTCTCTCTCTCTCTCTCTCTCTCTCTCTCTCTCTCTCTCTCAGCGTGAGGAGGAAGAGAGGAAGGAGGAAGAGAGGAAGAGAGCAGCAGAGGACAGACGGCGTTTGGAGAAAGAGAGAGTGCTGAAGGAACGGAAAGAGGCCGACGAGAGGGAGAGGAAAATGAACGAGAAACTACAGATGATCGAAGAGCAGAGGTCAGGACGTTGGGCACACACGCACACACACACACACACACACACACACACACACACACACACACACACACACACACACTGACTCAAGATTTACTGACACAATCCCTATTCTCTTGTGTCCATATCAGGTATTTTAATGGGTTGTCAAAGTAAAGGCTACTTAAGGCTAATATCCCATAAGGTTTCTGACATCTCTGTATCTATGTATCTCTCAGGAGAATGCAGGCCCAGCTGGAGGCAGAAGTGAGGAAGCAGGAGAAATCAAGATGGGTGAGAGAAAGAACGAATGAGTGAGGAAGTTATTGGGCGACAGAACTCTAGGTGTTTCTGACTTCTGAACTCTGTGTTTACGTGTATCTTTACTCTGAACTCTGTGTCTGTGTGTGTCTGAACTCTGAACTCTGACCTCTCTGTTGGTGTGTGACAGGAGCTGCAGCAGAGAGAGCATGAGGAGGACATGAGAGCTCGCTTGAGACGCAGCGAGTCCATCGAGAAAGCAGCAGTGAGTGTCTGTCTTACTGACCTCTCTAATCCAAACAAACTCCCTTCCTACTCTTCCCTAAACACCTCAGTTCCTTAGCTCTTGTTCTTGTCATACGGTGTATCCCAGTGCTCTGAAGTGGCTTCCTGTCCTTCATCTGCACTGATCTGAAAACACAGGATAGGTCAAAGGAATATGGCCTATCATTGGAACTTGTCCACTTCTTTCACACCAGTGCAGATGAAGGAAAGGAAAGGAGGAGAGGAAGGAGGAGAGGAGAGGAGACAGCTTTAGACTATTGAGACCTGGCTGTAGTTTCCTTTACATTCAGTAAAACATAGTGTGGTATGATTCCTCTTCCTACCTTTAGGAGGCAGCAGTGCTGGTGTCACAGCGCTCCATGAACCCCAGAGAGTTCTTCAGACAGCTGTCGTCATCATCGTCCCAAAGCCCATCCAGCCCCGGCTCCCCCCGTACAGGTAAATTCACAGTGTATCTGTGTGTCTGTGTCTGTTTGTTAATAAGCATTGGCAAACCAAGGTGTGGCTCTACGCAGTGTGTGATTATGAAGCCAGTCAGTCAATTGTAAATGGACCTAAACAACCATTATCTGTCTTGTTGCAGTGTATTTCTTAATGTTGGTCTTTCTTCCCTCCCTCTCTCTCTTCACAAAGGCAAACCTCCATTAAGGCGGTACCAGCGCAGCCTGACCGACACAGCATTCATCTTTGGGAAATGGGACGGTCCAACCCCGACCTCCCCCCGCAGTCCAACATTGGTTTCACCCTTCTCCCGCGTCCCATCCTCCCCCTTCCACCGCACCATGTCTCCACCCAGCACCAGCTTCCGCCCAATCACCTCTCCCCAGAGCCACCGCGCCCCCCTGGTGTCCCCTCCCACATCGCCCCTCCACTCCGCCCATGCTGTCTCAGCCCTGCCTACCCTCCCATCAACCAGCCCCCAGTCTCAGCCCCCAACCCAGCCCTCTGCCCCCCCAGCCTCTCCAAGCCTCCTAGCCACCCTGTCCCTCACCTCCCCAGAGAACCAGCACCAGGCTCAGGTCCTGGCCCCATCTCCCCCAGATACCCCTCCCCTGTCCCAGCCTGAGTGCTCCCCCTCTCCACTAGTCTCCCTGGAGCCTACCCCAGCACCACAACCTCCCACTGTCCCCCTGCCAGAGAGTCCACTGCAGCCAACAGGTAGGTCCTCATCATACGCACAGCCTACTGTAGAATGACCAATGGTGTCTGTCATGCCGTTATAGATTGTGTTCTCAGTTTGGCATGGCTGTACTTAAAACCACAATGGTTCATTATCCATCCAGAGCAGTACACAGCCGTACAAGCCGTACTGGTGGAGGAAGAGGAAGATGAGGAAGAACAGGCAGAGCCTGAGCCCAGTGTTGAGAATACAGAGCCAAGCCTAAACATGGAGGAGGGAGAGGAGGGCTCAGCACAGGATTCAGACTCTTTATCAGTGCAGGAGCCTGAGGCAGAGGAACAAGAGGACCAATCAGACTACAGCCAGGCCTCTGCTAAACCAGTTCTGGTTGCGCTTTCAGAAGAGGAGGAGGAGCCAGCTGTCACAGGTAGAGTACTTTGTTTTGTATCTTGTACAGGCCTGTCCTATTATTATTTTTTTTTTAATGAAAAAGGTAAAATACAACAATTAAAAGAGAAGAAGAGTGAGGAGTTTTATGTAATAAGACGGTTGTGGAAATGGTGTCTGACACAACTAACACAATCTAACCAATGGTTTGTTATGTTTCAGATGCAGAGGTTATTCTTCAGCCAATCACACAAGAGGTTGTGGTCCCATCCACCAATGGGGTGCGAGACGAGGAGGAGTTGGTGGAACACAATGGTACAGGTATGAAACCCCACTCACCCATTTAGTTATCTCTACGCTAGCCTACATTGCCCAAGTTGCTCTCAAACTGAATGAACCTTTATATTGATGAGATAATGTAAAATAGACATACCGGTACGCTATGTTGCAATTCCCTATCCTTTTCCAGAAATCCTCTTCCTCATGGATTTTTAAGATCATGAAGGGGATTGAAATAGTACACACTTGCTTGTTTAGGAACGAGAATCCAACCCCTCTCATGGTTCCTCTTTTCCAGAACGATCCATGAGTCCACCTGAAAGGGACCAAGGTACTCCAGAGTTGGCTGTTTGTTTCGATGATGAAGTTGAGGAGGACTTTGTTGAAGAGAATGAGGACCAGGAGATTTCAGAGAATGGAAAAGAGGTACGGAATGTAACACAACCCACAAAGGAATATGTCCCCTGTCCCCTCCTATGCCATCATATTTATTACTGGGCTTCAAATCTAGTCCAGGAACAGGATTGAAGAATGACTAATTGAATATGAATGCCATGTCGATGAGAACCAAGAGAGGGCTCTACAATTGGAAAAATGACATTTTCCTCAGACAGGGGCCATTTGTGAACGTTTTTCTCTCTGTTACTTTCAGATTTCACCAGACAGACAGATGTGTGTTCGAGCTCTCTATGACTACCAAGCAGGTCAGTAACTCATACCGTGGACCACAAACACACACACACACAAACACACACACACAGACACACCACACACACACCTATCCGCTCTATGATGCTCTCTGAGTGTTAAACCTCGCTTTCTCTTTTTTCACAGAGGACGAATCAGAGATCTCCTTTGAGCCAGGTGACATCATAAGTGCTGTGGAAACGGTGGACAAGGCCTGGTGGCGGGGCTTCAGTAAAGATGGACGCCTGGGACTCTTCCCAGCCAATTACGTGGAGACCATCTAGACACACACACACCACACAGACACACACACACTCAGGGACTGAACACTCATTCCCCTACAGTGAAACCACCATAGGCTACATACATACAGTAGACCCCTTAACTTCAATAGACACATTGGACAACTTCCATTGGATTCCATGCGATAATTTGATCCCCTTCCAACTTGGCTATGTTGTTGGGGAAGCCAGTGTCTCCTGTTCTAACCACTTGCAGACTCCTAGCTGGCAGAAACACACAGTTGTGAACTACCAAGATCCCCCCTTCCTTCACTCCACCTGAGGGAGGACTGGGAACGAGAGGGACCTCCAGATGGGATGTCTGCAGGCTCAATGACTCCCTCTTATTAAAACCTACTATTTGGATGATTGTTGTTACTATTAGCATACTGTCTGTGTGGATGTGTTATTTCCTTGGTACATTTAACAGTGTTTTCCATGTTACTGAACTGAAAAGTAAGGGACCGTTTTTCTTGTTTCTGTATTGGTGTTGTTTTATGTGTGCATAATCTGTGTTTTATCTACACCTTTTTTTAAATCCAAGCAGCATGGTATTCCTACATCTGATACTAATTGATAGCATTGTGCTAATTTCACCGTAAATGAAAAATGCTACTTGTAAATCAAACTGTCTCTTTGAAGTGAGAGCTTTTTAAAGTCATTAAGTCTTAATACACTTCTCTTGTATATAAGAATGTATAGTGACATGCATTTGGTTTATTTTGCTTTGTCATTCTACAAGTGTGTATGCGTTGTATTCCCTGCATTTACTCCACATTTACAAATAGTAGCCTATACCATTTACATACTCATAATACTCTTAAACTCCATCTTATATATATATTACAGGTCTCATTTGTTTTTGTTCCTATATTAAAAGACAAATACTATTTTAAAGGTATATTTCTTTATTTATGAAAACAGCATAGAAAGCATGAAACATGAAGCAGAAGGTAACTTTACATAATGCTATCATATCATTTTTTTCAACAACCAACAGAAAAACACTACTACAAGTTACTTTGTAATCACAGAAACCTAGAAGTGATTTTGGAACAAGAATTCTAATTTCATTGAATAGAACTGAATAAAACCATCCATATGTATTTTTCCCCATAATAATCTGCTTTGTACCATTTTTTTACGTAAAAAACTTGCACATCTTCATGAGAAATTATGCATTTTTTACATTCTGAGAAATATAATGGGTATATACATATAAATCATTTAGCAGAGTTGTCTTTTACCAAGTAACACACTGTACATTAGCCTCACGTGTTTGAGTGAGGCTAATGTACAGTCCACACAGTGGACATTTACTTGATTACTGATCAATTTACACCTTTAAACTTTCCTCACAGATCACATGTTCACTGCCTTCTCCTTGCTCCTCTCTCTCTCTTCTTTCTCTCTCCTGCCTCTCGTCTCACACTCCCTTGGCGTTCTCTTCTCTCCCTCCCTCTTCACCCCTCTCTCTTTACTGTACTCTCCCTATATCTCCCTCTCCTTTCAATTCAATTTAAGGGCTTTATTGGCATGGTAAACAAAAGTTAAATAAACAATAAATATTAACAGTAAATATTACACTCAGAAGTTCCAAAAGAATAAAGACATTTCAAATGTCATATTATGTCTATATACAGTGTTGTATATAGACCTTTCTCCCTCTCTTAATTCTCATCTCTCCCTCTCTCCTCTGCCCATCTTCCCCATTTCCTCTCTCCCTCCCTCTCTTTACTCTCCCTGCCTCCTCTCCCTCTCCACTCTCCCTCTCTCCTCATCTGTTCACTCTCCTCACTCCCCATCTCCTCTGTCTCCTCTATCTATCCCTCCCTCCCTTCCCATCTCTTCAATTACCGCTCTCCCTCCCTCTTCACAATCCTCTCTACCTCCCTCTTCGCTCTCATCTCTCCCTCCCGCTCCACTCTCCTCTCTCTCCTCTCCCCTTCTGCTGTTCTGCCATATCTGCAGCTCGACTGCAGTTCCCACAGCCCTCAGGGAAGCCTGGTCTCTTCTCATGGTGAACAGGTTCACAGTGATCACAGCACAAACCATCCCCAGCACAACACAGCCCATCAGTGAAGAGCACACGGCATAAAACATTGAGTCGATACCAAAGGGGTCTCTCCTCTCCTCATAGATGAACAAGGTTTTAGTTATTGATCGACACACCTTGTCAGAGATGACACTACACTAGTCCTCCCCACTGTTCTTCAGTGAGAGGTTGTAGAGGACCAGAGAAGAGAAGTGAGGGCGAGACACTCATTCGGCCATCCACATTATTAGTCCATATTCTGTGTCCAAAATGACGCCGGCCACCTGAGCAGTCCGTCTTGTACCACACAACCCTGTCAGACTCAGTTGGATTACAGTTACAGATGGGAGCATCCTTTTTCTCCGTCTGAGAATAATTCTGTGATGGGCTCAGACCTGGGGCAGACCAGCAGAACATAATCTAACCATTGAACTGAGGCGGGTTCAACAGGGGGAAAAGTTCCCAAACGTTTGCGAACCTTGGTTGAACTCACCTCTGTTACTGTCATAAATGACTCGTTATTCACACGGCACTCATAATGCCCTGTGTGGTTGAGCATCAATGATGGAATAAATAGGGAGGAGTTCCCTAACATTCTTTCGTTCGCCACATACATCTGCTCCCCTGGTTCAATGAGGTTACGGGAGTGCCCTGAGTCCTTTAGGAATGGTGATACTTTGAGGTTTCCATTTGGGGTTTCCCACTATGACTCTGTTCCATCTGGATCAGTGTTAAAGCAGGGCAGTACAGCACTCTCTCCCACTCTGTGCTGGATATACATAGCCTTAGGAATGAATTTTGTGGACTGAAAGTAAACACAATTCTGTCCCTCCCATACCAGGGAACTGTAAACTGTAAAACACTGCAGGTTTAATGTATCTCCTGTATGAACATGCAGTAGTGGTTTATAGTTTACAGCAATGCAAACAGTGAGGGGTATTGTGTGCTGCAAAGACCAACTAGGTCCCCTGCACTCAAGCTTGTACCACCCAGAGTCTAATTGAGTGAGATTATGGATCTGTAATCTCCAGGCAGATCATTTTAGTCGACCCCTTAAACCAGCAGCCAGTGTGAAATTCTCAGATGAAGGTTTAGAAATGTTCCAAAGCAACATGCTCTCTTCAGCTTTGTATTTGAAAATCAAACAGTTGCCAATCAGTGGAAATAACTTGCCAATGACACGGGAATAAACGTTACCTTCCGCCACAATCTCATTGAATTCTTGGTCTGCATGGATGGTTTTCTTCAGGAAAGCAAGTAGTGGAATGCTGAGCTTTACGATTGAAGCCATTATGTTCCAAGATTCTGTGCACTGCTTGTACACACTCTGTCTCTGCTTCAGTGAAAGACACGTTCAAGTAAACGGTTTCATATGTACTCTCCCTCAATAATCTTTGTCATCGAAGATGCAGGGCTGGAGACCTTGATATTGAACTCCATATCTACTCATCTCTTTTCCTCTGCATCGCTGAGAGAGAGAAATAGTTAGGAAGGTCACAGAAGTGTTAAATGTCACAGATTAAACATACGGATGATGGGTGGAAATCAACACTTTTATAAATAAAAAATGCTACTTTTTAAAGCTCTCATTCACGTAACTTGGAGTCAGGGACAGCACCCTCATACTAACAGTTTTATCTCATACTAAGTTTTATCTCATTGGACTGAATCCTAAACTTTTTAGGTTCACACTAGGGATTAATATTTTCCCGAAAATCTACCAAGTTTCAATACCGGGAATAATTAATATTTATCCCGAAAGTCCTGGGAAATACGGCAAAAATCAGAAGTGCTCATTTAAAGCGTTTAAAACCAAGATATGGTCACTATTGCAGGGTTCTCCCAAAAGAAAATTGTTGCTGCGTCACATTGCCGGCTTGGCTGTGCCACTATGTAAAGATTTCACAGCAAGTGGAACTGATATTTCTACTGAACAAAAATACAAACGCAACATGCAACAATTTCAATGATTTTACAGAGTTACAGTTTATATAAGGAAATCAGTCAATTGAAATAAAATAATTAGGCCCTAATCTATGGATTTCACATGACTGGGCAGGAGCGTAGCCATGGATTTCACATGACTGGACAGGGGCGCAGCCATGGGCGGGCCCACCCACTTGGGAGCCTACCCACTGGGGAGCCAGGCCCAAGCCAATCAGAATGAGCTTTTCCCCACAAAAAGGGCTTTATTACAGACAGAAATACTCCTCAGTTTCATCAGTTGTCCGGGTGGCTGGTCTCAGACGATCCCGCAGGTGAAGAAGCTGGATGTGGAGGTCCTGGGCTGGCATGGTTACACGTGGTCTGTGGTTGTGCTGCCGGTTGGACGTACTGCCAAATTCTCTAAAACAATGTTGATGGTGGCTTATGGTAGAGACATTAACATTACATTCTCTGGCAACAGCTCTGGTGGACATTCCTGCAGTCAGCATGCCAATTGCACGCTCTGTCAAAACTTGAGATGTCTGTGGCATTGTGTTGTGTGACAAAACTGCACATTTTAGAGTGGCCTTTTACTGTCCCCATACAAACTTTGTAATGGCAGTCAAACAAAAGTAAAATGACCAAAGTTGCTAAGCTTGCTAGATAACCTCCAGAATATCTCCTATTTGGCTAAATCGAGTTGATGATTATACAGATAGCAGATCAGCTCAAGAATAACGGTGAGATGAAGAGAGGAAATTGTTTAAATATCAAGGTATCTTAACGGGGACCAACTCTGTTCAAAATAAATATCCATATTCACACATTCTCTACCAAAGCTCTCATATGGGCAGCAATAGGAGACAGTGCAGAGAAGCGGGGGAAATGTTATAGCGGTAATTTGACATGCATAGGCGAGCCGTGCTTTGATAATGCAACCTATGGATTACAGAATAAAGTTAGGAAATGTCATGCAAGACAGGAGTCAGGATTTTGGGTTTGGATGGGATAGGGACAATAGGAAAATAGCCTAGGCTCTATTATACACTGCTCAAAAAAATAAAGGGAACACTTTAACAACACAATGTAACTCCAAGTCAATCAAACTTCTGTGAAATCAAACTGTCCACTTAGGAAGCAACACTGATTGACAATACATTTCACATGCTGTTGTGCAAATGGAATAGACAACAGGTGGAAATTATAGGCAATTAGCAAGACACCCCCAATAAAGGAGTGGTTCTGCAGGTGGTGACCACAGACCACTTCTCAGTTCCTATGCTTCCTGGCTGATGTTTTGGTCACTTTTGAATGAGACGGAGTCTACAACCCACACAAGTGGCTCAGGTAGTGCAGCTCATCCAGGATGGCACATCAATGCGAGCTGTGGCAAGAAGGTTTGCTGTGTCTGTCAGCGTAGTGTCCAGAGCATGGAGGCGCTACCAGGAGACAGGCCAGTACATCAGGAGACGTGGAGGAGGCCGTAGGAGGGCAACAACCCAGCAGCAGGACCGCTACCTCCGCCTTTGTGCAAGGAGGAGCAGGAGGAGCACTGCCAGAGTCCTGCAAAATGACCTCCAGCAGGCCACAAATGTGCATGTGTCTGCTCAAACGGTCAGAAACAGACTCCATGATGGTGGTATGAGGGCCCGACGTCCACAGGTGGGGGTTGTGCTTACAGCCCAACACCGTGCAGGACGTTTGGCATTTGCCAGAGAACACCAAGATTGGCAAATTCGCCACTGGCGCCCTGTGCTCTTCACAGATGAAAGCAGGTTCACACTGAGCACATGTGACAGACGTGACAGAGGCTGGAGACGCCGTGGAGAACGTTCTGCTGCCTGCAACATCCTCCAGCATGACCGGTTTGGCGGTGGGTCAGTCATGGTGTGGGGTGGCATTTCTTTGGGGGGGGGCGCACAGCCCTCCATGTGCTCGCCAGCGGTAGCCTGACTGCCATTAGGTACCGAGATGAGATCCTCAGACCCCTTGTGAGACCATATGCTGGTGCGGTTGGCCCTGGGTTCCTCCTAATGCAAGACAATGCTAGACCTCATGTGGCTGGAGTGTGTCAGCAGTTCCTGCAAGAGGAAGGCATTGATGCTATGGACTGGCCCGCCCGTTCCCCAGACCTGAATCCAATTGAGCACATCTGGGACATCATGTCTCGCTCCATCCACCAACGCCACGTTGCACCACAGACTGTCCAGGAGTTGGCGGATGCTTTAGTCCAGGTCTGGGAGGAGATCCCTCAGGAGACCATCCGCCACCTCATCAGGAG